TGACTAAATATGCTGAAGGTTTGGGGAAAGCATTTTCTCGATCTAGCTTGTTAAAGTTTTATACTCACAAATGACAGCTGCGCCTTCTCAGTGGCTGGGTTCAAGTTTAGTTGTTCACCTTTGTAGCAAAAGTCCATCTTTTTGCTGGGTTACCAATACGAGGTTTTCTTTCCAATAAAAATGGGTTTTTTTCTAAAAAGAAAACAGTCTTGTTCCGCTGCACAAGTCTGTCAGATAATGTACATTCAGATAATGTTTCATCATCCACATACAGTACGAACTTCCGGTCTTATAGACATGGCAACAAAAATATAAGTTTGAAAAATAGTGGAAAGGCAGATTATGATTGAGTTTTTCTGTCATTTTTTTTCTTTTGGCTATAGAATATATTTGCCCTTTAAAAATGAATATTTAGTTTCATGGCCTTGGCAGAAGTTTAATTTTGTACAGCACCCGTGTTTTTTTTTTAATGTTCTTATACAAAAATACACACAAAACCACAATTTCCAAGATTTTGATGCCTTTTGTATTCTGGACTATAGTTGTGTCCAACAAAGCACCTTAATCAGCACTTCTCAAGTAAAGAAAATATATAAAAAGGTACCACTCTTGGCTTTAATTGTGGACTGAAATCATTGTAATGTAAATTTGCCTTTAATTACAAGGCGCTGGCAGAACCTCCCTAATAGTGGTGGCTTTTAAGTGCCAACATACCCAACTCCCTACCCCTCTTACCAATTATGCTGGGATTTCTGTGAGCTTCCTTGCAGTCAATGATCCAAACAAAGGTGATTTTGTACAAAAAAGAAAAACATTCCACTCTGAAAAAAAAAAAAACAGCACATCACTGATATCTGCAGGTTTTCTTTGTGCTTCACTGTCACCCACTCTTTCTTTGAAAGAGTCTTTTAGTATTAAAAAAATTGCATTGAATGTTGTTCATAGGAATTATATTAAAAGTGATATAAAAAGTATATAGTGTTCTCATATGATTCTTCGTCCAGTTTAATTTGCAGTTGACTTGTTGTAGCATCCCTTTCTGCTGTACTGTATCTTCACACAGGGAACTCCACTGCTGTCTGTTACATAGGAAATTATAGCTCTTCATTTTGTTCTGATGTACTGAAAAATATTTAGTTTTAAAAATGGGTTTGATTAATCCTATAGATTTTCTTGCGTGTGGAGAGGTAATTTTTAATTTCAGCAAGCTTTTTTTTTTTTTTATTTGTTTAGTTTTAAATGTCCTTAACAAAAGGTTTTCTAGGTTAACTGTATAGATGCTTATCTTTTAATTACCAATAATATCCAAACACTCCCACTTTATTTGCATCCATTAAAATTCACATGATGTATCAGAGCCTGTTTATATACCATAACCTGAAATGTAATTGCTTATTAGTGAGCGACACTGAATGCGCTGGACCTACAGCTAACTCTCTAAGGTCGGCCCTTGAACCAAAGTTAATAGGATGGCTGTGATTACTTTTAATGTGGACGAGATCTGACTATTAAAACTTTTCCCAGTGAAACAAATCAACTCATAATTTGTTACTTTCTTTATTTTAGGTTCTTTTTCTTTTTTTTTTATTATTTAGCTAAATTTGTCCAGTTGCTCTTTGTTGGGGCCTAATAGGAATATTTTTTCTCAAAGTGTGTGCAGTTCATTTTTAAAATGTGTTTCATTGTAAATGTGTGGCACAGAAATAAAGGTCACAATCACAAGTGTTTGTCTTCCAGTTATTACACTGGCTTTCTTTTTATTTGTATGTTTGAGCTGATTTTTTTTTAAGGACCTGGTTAAAAAAGCGGGGGATTCAAATCAAAAGATCCGGTAAAATATTGCTGTGAATCCTTATAACTCACTATAAAGTCAAACTACATGAATACCATTTCCCCATTGCTTGAATATAATGCCTTGTGGGGATACTTTAGTAAAAAGCTTGCAAATAAGAGGACCACTCATCCAAAGCATCACACTCGACACTGATCCTTTAAAGTGTTGAGAAATACACCTGTCAAAAAAATTGAAGCCGAGCAGACAAACTGTTGTCAAAAAAGGAGCTTATTATGTGTTCAAATGTAAAAACTGCTGTGTTAGATTGGGGATTTTGCTGAATATTAAGTGCATTGTGGTGTTTCGCCCGAGTGACTGCCAAAAAGCAGATAAAGGAAAAGCAAGCAGTGATTTTTCTGGTTGTCAGCAGTAAAAAAAAAAAGAAAAAAAAAAGAAAACACCTTTCATTAGATGCTCTTAAACTTTTATGTGTCTAGGTCAGGCATGGAGTAACCCTGACAACGTTCTCGAGAATATTTTTCCCAGAAAAAGATCCATCAGTCAGTGGGAGTTTTTTTTTAAAGATGCCATAATGGAGTCTTGCATGTTACTTGAGGGTTAAAAGTTTTTTTTTTTTTTTTTTTACAGAGCTTGCAAAAGTATTTTACCCTTTAACTTGTTTTATTTGATAGACTAACACAAAGTAACATAAAGCAATGGTAGTTACATTTGATTTTATAGTACAATTTAGAGAATTATATTGTAGATTTGTAGCCTCTCTCTTGTATACAAACTTAATTTAATTTAGGTCTGGATTTAGACTAGGCCATTCTAACCCAGGAAAAATGTTCTTTATAAACCATTCCGTTGTAGCTCTAGCCGTATGTTAAGGGTTGTTGTCTTGCCTTAAAGTGGATTTCCACCAGAGGTTTTTAAGTCCTTTGTACCCTGGAAGAGGTCTTCCTTCCAATTATGGCCAGCATGCCTGTCCACACTTTAAGACAAGCTGTATATATATTGTCTCTAAATCACAGTCTCTTAATCTATTAACTATTTAAGGACTATGTCAAGGTAATGGTCTTGAAGAAGGGTCTTTTCAAAATCACAGTTAAGCACTTTGATAGCAATAAATCAAAGTGCTTAATTGATTATTGGACAAAATATGAACGTTTCCGGTGGTATGAATAATTTAGCAAGGCACTGTATGTGGGAAAGTAAAGTCAATCATGACTGGAACCATGATACAAAAGTTCTCATTTATTGATTTATTTCACTGCATATCTGTTATTAAAACATTTGCAAAAAAATAAACCGCATCCTCTACTATCCTGTGTTACATGGTTTGTTTCTCACCAAGGTTGTTTTTAAAGCACACAAGCATCACATAGACTTTCTTTGCATAGACTGCACCGCCTTCGCTTTCTATCAGAATACCTAACAATGCTGCACAAAAACACTTTGACCCCTTTTAATTTGCTATCCTCCAGAGCTTTTCTTACCCAGGGGTCTCCTTCTCTGTTTGAAATCCACTCTGTAAATAGGAGGTAAGAGCATGAATAATTTCTCTAATTGACCTGAACTCTTTGTAACTGATAGTTTATCTGCCACTCTGCAGCATTTACAGACGGTTTAAAGCAGAGACCAGTTAAAGGGGTAACTGCAACCACCATAGGCCACAATGTTTAGATATTTCTGTTTTCCTCCTGATCATCTCATTAATATCATATTTACATCGTAATCTCAAGCGACAATAGAATACAGTATACCATGGCTGATTTTATACCTATAATGGGCTTAGAGAGTAAATGATGGAGAAAGCATCAGGGTATTAGCTTTTTACCTCTAGCACACATCAAATCTTGAATGCCTTAATCCCAACTAGTAGTAGTAAAAGGTATAAATAATAGTTTTTTGTTTCTTCAAAGCTCCGTTTTTATTTACATAATTATGTTTGGGAAGAGGTATATTAACATACGTCAGTGCTGATTGTTTCTCTGTTCATTATGAACTTGATGGCCAAAGTCTCCCTTTTTCATACGCCCAATAATATAAAGAGTATTAGACTTTTACACAAAAAAACAAACAAAAAACCTCCAATTCTATTTAACTTTTGCTAATTGCATTTGTGCTGTGAAATCATATTCATGTTGCCATTTGATTTTAAGGTTGACTCTAAACAAAGGTGGATAAACTGAATTTTTCATTCAGTCATGGAATAAGGTTCCCCCCACCCCCGCCCAGAAAACAAAAAGAAAAGATAAATAAAACACTTAAAATGAGTGTATAGTCTTATTATGATCTCTGAACAACTTTAAATTATCTAGGATGTTGTTTAAAGGTTAATTTCAATTTGAAATCAAGACTCAAAAATGAAAAAGTTAAAGATTTATTTCAAGTTCATCATTTCTGTTATACTTCTTTTTTAATAAAATAGAAATGAGATCCAACTATCATCTATAAATGTGTATCTCCCAAATAGTCAGCCTACTATCGGGTAAATAATTGTAAAAACAAAAGGTTTTGCATGTTCTGATATTTTTGTATTGGGACTAAAATGGTTCTGATTAAAATTAATTATCTAATATAATGTTATTTCTTGCAATATTTAAAATTCGGGAAATTTTGTCATGATGATAATATAATAGTATACATTTCAATATATTTACTTGGTTTGAGATATATATATATATATATATATATATATATATATATATATATATATATATATATATATATATATATATATATATATATATATATATATATATATATACTTACTCTGTAATTAAAACATAAATAATGTATAATTTATTATAAAACAGAAGTCAATGAAGACCATGTGAGTGGTAAAGTATGAAAATATCCTTTTTGGGAACATCCATCCCTGATCAGGGAACCACTGATGTATCACGACAGTGACACTAAATGATAGAAGTGGGTGTACTAAAATACCAATCCATCTTTGCAACACAGCCATCTCAGAAAAACTGAATCTGAAAAAAATAACATTGTTGGTTTCCTTGGATAAAATGTTATCTTACAAAACTTTAAAAAAAATTAAAAACCACTTGGGTTATGTTCATGATAAAAATCCCATCTGAATAATTGAACTTGGATCCTAAATTAGCCTAATTGTCTCAAGAAAGCAAAGATAACATTATATCCAAAAAAATAAAAAGTATCCTAATAAGTGGAACCTGCTAATGTTTTATCTGAAAAACAAAATTATCAACAATATCGGCTAGTACATCTATTCTATTAAAAAGAAACTAATTATTTTGCAAAAGATAAAGTGATTAAATTGCCTTATTTTCTGTAAACAAAAAAAACACCCCTCAATTTATGACATTCTGACCCACATCCAAATTAATATTATGACAGGTGGAGCCAGTATGATAAGAAAGAAAAGTTAGTTTTCTCAACATAAGGAGAAAAATGTAGCTTGGTAATTGTCAATATAAATAATTAGCTTTCAGTCTAAAGAAAATCACATCCAAATAAGGATTAGCAGATAAAGCTATTATCCTAAGAAAACAAATAATGTCATAACCTCCAGATAAAAGAACAGTCAGCTTGCGTTCCCAAGAAAATCCCATCCAGATTAACAATCAAAGTTAAGGTCTTCCTTAGCTTTCATGCAAATGCTTCAATTTGTTAATCAAGTGAAAAGAATTCATATGCACACATATGATTTTATAAGTACAAACCCTTTAATCCATGAGTGTGCAGATCTTAACGCAAGCAACCTCTCGCCCAGGATATTCAGTGATGTTTTGTCAAAAAAAAAAAAGAAAAAAAAGGGGCGGTAAACTAATGTGGGGAATTACTAAGGATTTTTGTTTGATTACATGATCATGTGGTTTCTGAGGCTTTACAGAAAGACAAAATCTCACATCATGTTCATGAAGTCTTTCTGAGAAGTTATTCAAAGCAGAGATTCAATGTCAGGTCCAACATAATTCCTGAATCCTTAGAGATTTTAAGTGTAACACCCACAAGGAGGTCTTTTTTCCATCTCAAGTATCTGAAACATTGTTATAGCATTGATCCACGTTCACATTCCCACTGACGTAGGTGATTCTAGTATTTACTTTTAAAGTGGTCCAGAGGCAGTAGCACCTGTCAAGTGGTGTATTTTAGTTTTGGAGTCTGTGAGTTGCATGAGAGGCTGGACAGTGAAGGAATTCCAGCTGTTGTAGCGTTGCCCTGACTCTCCACAAACACTGGGTCCAGGCAAGCAACTTTGGCAGCAAAGAAAGCGTGAATACAATGGAGGACAGCAAAGAGGTTCGAAAACTCCAGCTCCTACAGTGAAACAAAAACAGTTAAAACAACATATTGACATTGTTTAAGAAGACATATGTGTATATTCATATTTTGAAAAATAAAATTCTCAGTTAATGCCAGAATACTTACAAAACATTTTTTAGAATTAGCTTATACTAATCTTTCAGTAGAATTTCGAATTTTGTAGAACCATCTTTTGAAATGTATGACGAGTCAAATATTTTGCATATCTTAAACTTTCTTACTCTTGTTAGCTGTATTTTTGGCCCATTCCTTGTGGCAAAACTAGATTATTTGAATACGGTTTGTAGGCCACCTTGTTCACACACATTTTCAACTTTCCTAAAAGTTTCCAAAACCGATTGAGATCAGGGGTTTGTGATGGCAACTGCCTTCACATGTTTTTTTTGGCTCCCTGTATCTCAGAGAATAGACTTTAAAATAATTCTGTTAGTCTATAAATCTCTGAATGGCTTAGCACCTAAATACATCACAGACTTGCTATCAGTGTATCAACCCTCCAGACCACTCAGGTCTTCTGGCTCCAGCCTGCTCTGCATACCTAGAACCAGAACTAAACATGGAGAAGCAGCATTTAGTTCCTTTGCTCCACTTATCTGGAACAAACTTCCAGAAAACTGTAAAAGCGCAGAAAGCCTGAGCTCCTTTAAATCAAGACCAAAAACACATTTGTTTAGGATTGCCTTCCACTGTTCTAGTTAAACAGTTCAACTGAAACATCATTAGTTCAACTTTTTTATTTTCTTTAGTCCAACTGTTTTTAATATTATTTTTTGTTTCTGCATTTTTTTTATTTCATTTTATTTATTTATTTATCTTTCCAACTTGCTTTGATTCTGTTTTATTTTCCTATATTTCAATCATGTAAAGCACTTTGCATTGTCTTTGTATTGAATTGTGCTATACAAATAAATTTGCCTTGCCTTTATTTCTAGACGTAAAAGCAACTTATTTTGTGATATTCTGTACATTTATGTCCAGGCTTTAACTCTCTGGCTGCTTTCTTTTGAATTTTGTTTCCTCATGCTCAGTAATGTTCTTTTCTCATCAAGCCATATATTTGCAAAATGCATCATTGTTCTCAGGTCTGCCGACCTTAACTTTATTTCTCCCTGATGTCTTACCCAAATGCTCCTCACATCAAGGACACGTCGCAACTTAACATGGCACCTTCAGTTATTTGATAATACTTCTAAATGATGCACAAAACCTATAGAAACTCTTCTTGGTGTCTTGGCTAATTTCTTTAGAGATTTAAAAAAATATAATAAAAAAAAGCAGCCATAGTGTAGTAGCGTAGAAATGCATCTACAATGGGTGTGTCTCTGTTTAATGACTGCAAAAAAATTGGACGTTTATAAAAAAATAAACAGCTTTGGTAATCATGAATTACTAAAAATATATTTTTTTAAGTTTAGTCTAATTTAATAAGAGTAAAAAAAAGACACACAGGTGATTTCTTCTTTGTTCAAACGTGTAAAACTTCACTTAAAACAGACTTACCTTTGCTTCAATGGATTTGGATTCTGGATTTTGGAATAAGAATTTGATCTTGCTCTTTCCATCATCTGATGATCCTTTTAGCTGGGAAAACTTGTATCTCCACAGTACTGCCTGAAATGACAACAAACAATGTTTTTCTTTATTTACCACTATTTAATTAGAGAATTTCTCCTTTTTCATGAATTATTAATGTTAAAATCCTCAAGGAGCTAGATGGAAATGAAGCACATCAGCTACATCAGCATATAAGTCAGGTACAGGCCTTTGAGAGATACAAATGTGCTGTTTCTGCCTGTGGGAAAAAAAATGAGAATCTACAGCACAATTTAATATGAAAAAGTGCTTTGGTGAGTCAATTACTGCTAAAATGAGTAAACAAAAGCTGCCCAGTGAGTCAGTTTTCAGTCTCCTCAGGTGGACAGCGAATCGTGCTTTCCTCATGAATATGTCACAGTTTGCACGCTGTTGGACTGTGAAGACGGCTCCGGTGACTGTAGGAATGACTTTAACAACAGTTTAGTTAAATGTAGTGTAAAAAATTGCATTTTAACGCGACATGCACATGAGATTTTTTTTTTAAACCTGTTTCCTTGTAAAATCTACAGAGGATGAAAAAGGAAGCATAATCAGAGTGCAGCAGAAGTGTCACCTCATCTGCTTTGCCTTTGAAATTCATTCATGCTAATCTTGTCAGAGATAATGACAGAGTATTATCTTGTCCTGAATGCCAATCACATGAACTTTATCATGAAGATTTAGAAGGTGACGCTATTAAAGGCCAGTCATCTGCAGAGCTCTGCTTAGTGCAAAAAAAAAGGAAAGCTTTGAACTTGCCTTTAGGTTTATTAACTTTATATTATAGCACTTAATGCATGACCTTGTTTCATTTTTATTTCTCTAATCTTATAACTCCTATGTTTGTCTTACATCTCAGGAGAGTCTTTTTATTCTGCACTGCTTAGTCATAGAATTAGTACAGGGTTTAAACATATGACTAGTGAAGTTCCCGAATTCAAGTTTAACATTTAAATCCTTTTCATGGTTTGCTTATGTTTAAATGTATTTTATTGTGTTAAGACATTTTTGCCAAACAAACAAAGGCTGGACCAAAACAGATATGCTGATCTTCCACAGAATCATTATCCTGTAGTAAAATTCCAGCTGCAAATGGACTTAAATGTCACGTGTGGTCAACAAAGTACACAGTCTTGGCCTCGGTTCCTTTGATTTACAGGTGCTGGTCATAAAATTAGAATATCATGAAAAAGTAGATTGATTTCAGTAATTCCATTTAAAAAGTGAAACTTGTATATTATATTCATACATTACATACAAACTCATATATTTCAGATGTTTATTTTGTTTAATTTTGATGATTACAAATGACAACAAATGAAAATCTCAAATTCATCATATCAGAAAATTAGAATATTGTGAAAAGGTTCAAAATTGATGGCCCCTGGTGCCACACTCTAATCAGCTAATTAACTCAAACCACCTGCAAAAGCCTTTAAATGGTCTTTCAGTCTAGTTCTATAGGCTACACAATCATGGGGAAGACTGCTGACTTGACAGTTGTCCAAAAGACGACCATCGACACCTTGCACAAGGAGGGCAAGACACAAAAGGTCATCGCTAAAGAGGCTGGCTGTTCACAGAGCTCAGTGTCCAAGCACATTAATAGAGAGGCGAAGGGAAGGAAAAGATGTGGTCGAAAAAAGTGTACAAGCAAGAGAGATAACCGCACCCTGGAGAGGATTGTGAAACAAAACCCATTCAAAAATGTGGGGGAGATTCACAAAGAGTGGACTGCAGCTGGAGTGAGTGCTTCAAGAACCACCACACACAGACGTATGAAAGACATGGGTTTCTGCTGTCGCATTCCTTGTGTCAAGCCACTCTTGAACCACAGACAGCGTCAGAAGCGTCTTACCTGGGCTAAAGAGAAACAGGACTGGACTGCTGGTGAGTGGTCCAAAGTCATGTTCTCTGATGAAAGTAAATTTTGCATTTCCTTTGGAAATCAAGGTCCCAGAGTCTGGAGGAAAAGAAGAGAGGCACTTCATCCACGTTGCTTGAAGTCCAGTGTAAAGTTTCCACAGTCAGTGATGGTTTGGGGTGCCATGTCATCTGCTGGTGTTGGTCCATTGTGTTTTCTGAGGTCCAGGGTCAACGCAGCCACATACCAGGAAGTTTTAGAGCACTTCATGCTTCCTGCAGCTGACCAACTTTTTGGAGATGCAGATTTCATTTCCCAACAGGACTTGGCACCTGCACACAGTGCCAAAGCTACCAGTACCTGGTTGAAGGACCATGGTATCCCTGTTCTTAATTGGCCAGCAAACTCTCCTGACCTTAACCCCATAGAAAATCTATGGGGTATTGTGAAGAAGAAGATGCAATACACCAGACCCAACAATTCAGAAGAGCTAAAAGCCACTATTAGAGCAACCTGGGCTATCATAACACCTGAGCAGTGCCACAGACTGATCGACTCCATGCCACGCCGCATTGCTGCAGTAATACAGGCCAAAGGAGGCCCAACTAAATACTGAGTGCTGTACATGCTCATACTTTTCATGTTCATACTTTTCAGTTGGCCAACATTTCTATAAATCCTTTGTTTTTATTGGTCTTCAGTAATATTCTAATTTTCTGATATGATGAATTTGAGATTTTCATTTGTTGTCATTTGTAATCATCAAAATTAAACAAAATAAACATCTGAAATATATGAGTTTGTATGTAATGTATGAATATAATATACAAGTTTCACTTTTTAAATGGAATTACTGAAATTAATCTACTTTTTCATGATATTCTAATTTTATGACCAGCACCTGTAGTCAAACAGCCATTTTGCTCAAAGTTCAAACTGACCACACAGCAGAGCAGCCATTTTAGATTTTTCATCCATTTTCTGTGATACTAGTTTAGATCCAGTAGCCAACAGACACAAATGTACTTTAAGTAATACTTTGTAATATTTTTAAGTAATATTTTGCTCATATCCAAAATATTTTGGAATCTAATAGATTTTGAATGAAATTATTTTTATTAATTGAAGAATGTTTTTTTTCTGGCTTTTATTAAAAGAGAATAAAATTATGTAAATTGTTTTATCAATATTGAGAACAATCATATACTTGTCCACTGGTGTTTTGACATATTATCTTTAATTCAGGCATCCCCAAAGTCAGTCCTTGAGGGCCGCTGTCCTGCAGGTTTTAGAGGTTTCCCTGCTCCTGCACAGCTGATTTACATTGATAGTTGATTAACAGGCTTATCAGCTGTGCTAAAGCGGAGAAATCTCTAAAACCTGCAGGACAGCGGCCCTCAAGGACCAACCTGGCGGATGCCTGCTAATTCTTTGAGGTCGGGTAAACTTCATGCCGTCACCCTAATGTTTATATTCTCCTCAAATCCTAAGTAGGTTTAAAATTCTGGACCGGCTAATTTAAAATGTGTTTGGCCTCTCCAGTTAAAAGACACATGTTGGTGATCTTCCACAAAAAAAAAAAGACCAAAACGCAAAGTTCAAACAGTTTATTAATCAGAGTGATAAGAGTGAAAACTGTTTAATACAATATATTTTAAGATATATTTATTAATACCTTTGACTTTTAATACATTCTAATGTGCTTTGTAATAGAAAAGTATTGCCATTATTTGTTTGTCCATGCTGTGTTCATAGATAAGTGAGACTACTATTGCTATACCATGTTATGCCATAAATAAATGTTTTTTTATTTATTTTTTTTATTAACTTAGAAGTGAGCAAACAAGCTCAAAACCCTATTTACTACGTTTAAGTCAAATCCTTTTTGCTGTTCTTTGGTCTTATCCGTGAACTGCAGCAAAAATCTTTTAGGTTTGATTTAAAAAAATAATAAAAAAAACAGCAAAAAGGGTAAATATCTGGCTTTAGCAAGGGACATACGAAAGCTGAGAGTGATGACATTATTTTGCGATAACAAAGATGGTTTTGTCCTGTTAACAAAGGACATACTCTCCTTTAATGCGACATAAATGCAAAGTTTAGCAGTAAATATTATCTCAGCCATATGTTTATTCTGCATATTTATTTAAATAGTCTACATAATGGATATATATTTAAATTAAAGTATATTTTCTGAAAGATAATGCATTTTCTTGGACCTGGCTGTGTAGAAAAAGACAAAATCTAATTATTACATCTAGCTGTAGTCCCAGTCATATTAAGGTTCTGCCACTACTTGATATTACAAAAAGTGTATATATCACCAGTAAAGTAACACTTTTTCTAACAATGCTGATTAAGCAACGTAGTCTCTTCAAATCTTCATTTTGTCCTAACTGAAATACATTTCAAACACTTTTTCTTAGCAATGCAATCCTGTAAAAGCTGGTCTCCTGCTGGTTTTTCATATTACCCTCTAAAAAAGCCCCTGTAGTGGCACAGCATTTATCTATTAGAAAAATAAGTTTTCTAAGCGTATGAATTTCATACTAAAATGGAGACCATTTTTTTTTCCAGAGCCCAGCTTGTGTTGAATTAGATTTTGAAGATCTGCAGCAGAGATTCTGATTATTAGAACAGGAACAATCACTGACTAACTGTTGTGAAATGGTTTTACCATGAAACCTTTCCTTGTTCAGGGAATTTAAATATCGGTTACAAATTCTGACATCAGTAAGTGTAAATAAAAATACAATGTTAAGGTCTTTTTTTTATTCTTTACCACCCACTGGCTGCAGTTCATGGCAGCCCCAGAAACCTTAGAAATGGCATATAAATCTTCTTAAAGACTGCTGAATTACAATCCTTAAGAGCTGGGGTATGATGTATTGCATTTGAGCTGGTTTAGCCTAATTCATGCTGCCGTACTACTTCATACGTTTTACTCTTGAGTCCTGCAGTATTCCTGACTGGTTGCAGAGAGTGATACTAAACTTAGCTTCCTGAAAAATAGAGGTAAGTAAAGTTAATTTTTAAGATTTTTTTCCTAAAGGAGGTTAATAACTTTCTCTCATAGAGCCAATGTATTTTAAGCAGCATTTTTGCCTGATAAATGAAATCAGAATTTTTCCATGTGCTCTGGATATCCTTGCCTAACTCTAACTTTAGTTTTAAGACCCAAAACATTTATTGTTGATCAAAAAATAATAACTGGGTTAAAAACTGTCATTCTGCTCTTCTAATGATTTATCTCTTCAGATAACTTAAAAACATTTTAACTTCTGTCAAAATGAGTATTTGAATTTATAAACCTTCAATTCTAAGAACCTTTATAGCTTTACATGGACTAACTAGGCCTGGTCACTAATCAACAGCAATATAGAAAATCTATTTTATTCAAAGTTACAGCTCAAAACATGCTAAAGCTGATTTTGGGGCGTGGGATAATTGTAATGAAAAACAGAAACAGAAAAATGGATCAGTTCATGTAAAATAACCTGATACTTTGCAATATACATTTTGTTCATATAAAAATCCACCGTTGTCACCAATATCTAAGGCGTATCTTCATCAATGTTAAATGTATTTTATCATTGATGGAGCCCGGACCATAATGATATGGAAATCTGTCTGGAGCTGCGGCTATACTTAACTGTGCTACTAGCTAGGGTTTGTTGTTTTATGAAATAAAATATTTCCAAAAATTAAATGATGCTTTGAATCAGCTTTATTGCCATCATGCACTTTATTAAAGCTATACAACAGAGAAAACAAGCCATTGATACTTTGGTATATTGAATCCAACTGATGCTGTGAGAGCAGGATTGATGATAAAAGAGTCTGCCGTGATGTGATCCGAACATAGTTTACTGTATCGGCTTGTACGCCACAGATTGTCCGGTTGATTTTTGTCTAATGTATTTACTTTTCAATTTGAAATTTGACGCAACATTGGGTCCTTCTGATAATTGAACATTCCTTTTCCCGAACCGAAGCCATTCCTACATCGGGAGCAGTACAATAGACATTGTAATGACGTTTTAACTATCCTTTCAGGGTGCCTAACAATGCGTGAAGTAGTGTTTCTATACTACCGCCCGAGGACGTTTGAATACACTGACATCACAGCTGGGTTTCTTCACATTACTGTTCTCACCGGACTCGCAGATCGCTAGAGGCACCAAACATACTGTAAAATTCTTTCCATTTTGTATTACTTGGAGAATTTTTAGCGCAATTTCGACCAGTCACCTAGAGAAAAGAAAGAATAATCTACCATCACACGCAATAAAACTGCTCTAGACGCACTCCTTTCTATTTGACCTTTAAGTGCAGCCTTTATTGCTATCATAAACACGATTGGCTTTGTTCAAAATTTGAGTATTCCAACACATTCTCATCTTCATACTTTGGAACTTGTGCTGACATACATGACAAACAGGAAGAAATATTATTTCCTCACAACTGTGTCCTCTCTGAACACTTTTTATTAACCTTCAGCATTACTTTAACAAATTTCCCCTTTCCAAAATAAGGTTTTTCTTTAGCAGATTATCTTCAGATAATATAGTTATAAAACTTAAATAATCTATTTCACTTTCTCTCTCCTCTTTGTCACTGAGCAATGCAGCAGAGGGCAAATATGTAGTTTATTCATCTTCACAGGTTGTTGATTTTGTTGATGGGGTTGCTAGTTCACTGTGTACTGCCTTAAACAATGTAGCCCCTTTCAAAAAGAAAAAAAAACTTTATAGAGAGCTGGCTCCCTGGTTTAATGCAGAGAAAATGGCACCCCTACATGCCTACTGGAATCCTACCTGGGAAGGTGGGGGTCTATTGTTAGAGCATTGTGCTTGGGTCCCAGAGGTTCTGAATTAAATTCCCACCGATTGCCACTCTTACCCTTAACCCCACACTGCTCCCTGAGCACTGCCCAGTGGATGCCCACTGCTCCCCAAGGGGATGGGTTAAATGCAGAGGTGAATTTCTCCGATATGAGATCAATAAAGTTAAATTACTATTATCATTATTATATTACACCTAGTCTGGAAAAATAGTGTACTGCAATATAAGATGACACTTTGTAAAGCAAGAGCAGCATATTTCTCCTCATTAATGGAGGAGAATAAGAATAATCCTACATATCTTTTTAATACAGTTGCCAAACTCACCCACAGCCTTAGCTTGGTAGAACTATTCATCCCCCTGATCTAAGCAGTAATGATTTTATGGGATTCTTTATGAATAAGATTTATTCTATTAAAATTATGATCATTAGCACCCCATATGATTGGTTTATCTCTGGTGAGGCAGTGTCTGAGGTAACAATAGAATCTGATCCGGGTTTAGACTGCTTTGATCCAACTGAACTCTCAAAGTTAGCAAAACTATTGTCTTCATCTATGCCCTAAACTTGTGTGTTAGATCCAGTTCAAATATTTCCTCTGATTCCCTCCTCCATTTTAGATATTATTGATCTACTCCTGTTACTGGGATATGTACCTCAGGCTTTTACTGTAATTTAACCTTTACTTAAGAAACCATCTTTTGACCCAGATGACTTGGTCCATTGTAGACACATTAGAATTAATGTGTTTTTATAAAATGATGCACCAAATCAGAAAATGGGCCATAAAGTGATGCTTAAAAGTATAATATAGTTCTTGACTATATTGATCTTAAAAAATACTTTTATACAACAAATGCAACAGAAAAGAGAACTTTTAACTTAATACTCAGAGCTCTGTGAGCACTCCACTGGAAGCTGCAACTACCGTGGTGCATGCTGGGACAGCTGTCAATCTCGAGAATGGACAAGCCTGCTCTGATGCATACTTGGTTAAGGGGCAAGAACAACATCCTGGGATGTTACATCCTAGCACATGAGAATGCACAAGTAGACATATTGAGAAACGGCCTTAAACTAGAAGACCTGAGTGTTCTGGAAGGTTAATACACTGACGACAAATCTGTTATGTATTGAGGTGCTGATCCATTCAGTGAAGCCAGTGTAAGGACTTCAGAACTAGGCTGATGTGCTAATATTTATGTGTAGGATATCACTGATATCACTGAAAATCAGAAGGAGCTGGACTAGTGTTTATTGAAGACTGTAGTAATATGTGCTTGGTCAGAAATATGTATAACAAAATAACAAATCTACTGATGTTTTTCAGGTCTTTGTCCACAAATTATAATATTTCTTAAATAAGCAGTGTTGGAGCATCATACTAAGGATGCCCTGGTGAAACTCGGGCTGTGGCAACATAGAGTGTAGAATGTTACCTTACAGTATGTAATTTTAAAGCTGCAGACTATAAAAAGGAGTGGGGTCCTAGAGGTCACAGCAAGATGTTTGCTTTCTGGAGATGTTTTAAATACAGGCTTCTGCATGTGGTTCCTATAACTAAGACCCTTGGCCTCTGAATGCTTCCCAGCACTGGAAGCTGCTCCTTGCTTCCAGAGGGATGTTTAAAATGCTCATTTGCAATGACAAAGTTGTTTTATTATGACAAAACATTGTTAATTTTTACCATGTTCAAAGTGTGATTTACTCTTAAATGGCTTCTAATACAAAGAAATCCTGGCTTAAAGGTTCTGCACATAACTAAAGAGCTGCCCCACGTTACATGTTTTTTTTCTCTTAATGGATGCGGCACATTAGCCAGTAGTAAGTCACATATACAGACATTGATTCATCCACCCACCCACTGTATGTTCATCTTTGAAAGGTTACTTATGAGTTCATTTGACTCTCATGTGAGTGAAAACTGTCAGAGGAAAAGCACTTACATGAGAGGAATAACTCCTGTTAGATGTTTGTGAATATCAACCATAAATATTATATCCCATGTTTGTTTGGCATGTTGTCCATATGGAAACAATCCTAAGAGATGAAAAAGGATCCTTCTGTATCTTAAGCTCACAGATCACAGATCTTTTTGGTAAACAGTTTCATTTTGGTTGGTTTCTGAAAGAAAACATGGTTTTTGTTAAGTTGCCAAATGCAGTTTTTAATTATGGAATAATCTCGCTCTCTGTATTGCCTGTAATTGCAGTTTACATATGGATTCTGCTTTGTGCGTCTCTCTCTCTATAAACAATTCTCTGGCAACATTCTTACCATGCTTAGGGGACATTGTTGCCACGCACTGCTAGAGTTGGGGCCAAAATCTTAGAGAACAATATGGCAGTGCTTGTGTCCTTCTCATCAACGTAATGTGCACCAGTGGAGTAGTATGCATGGCAGTCAGGCGATGTGCGAAGAGGCCAAAAGAAACTATATGCTGCAGTAAGAGGTTTTAGCTGGGGGGTGCCGTCAAAACAAATGTGCTCACACTCCTGAAATGCACACTGAGCAGAATTAGTTAGCAGCCACGGAAAAAAAGAGGATGCAGAAGCATAATGATTAGCTCCATCTAACTGTATGCAACACTCCCACTGAGGAGACAGCTCTTCTGTATTTGAATGGCTGACAGAGGATTCCCTTGGCTGGTGACCGGAGTTGGCCAACGATATGCTTGACTGGACGATCGCCAATCATAAGAGGCAAAAGCTAGAGATTAAAACTTTTTTCCTGCTTAGTGAATAAAAGAGGCATCAGCAGGTCAGAGCTTATTAAAATTGGTGATTAGAAATCTGCAATTGAATCTCTGATTGGTGCATATTTATCTAATCTTCCCAGTTTCTTTGCATTAATTTATTTCACACATAAATCCAGCTTTACAATGCTGTGAAATAAAGTGCTGGAAAAGCACAAGTTACGAGCGTGAAGGGAGGAGAGAGGATCGTCGTGCACATACCTTTGAAGCAGCATCGAAGCAGACAAAGCCCATGCCGAAGTCAATTGTAAGTCCCATGAGGTGACTCTCCATTATGCAAGCATACGTTTTACACTGCAGAATAGCAAAAGTAAATGTTAGTTACCAGAATGTCTCAAGAAACTGTTTAAAGAAAAACATTCAGACCTGTATCCTCTCCACCTCCAGGAACGTTGCCATCTGAAAAGCCTTTTCCCAGATTAGCAGCTCACACTCCAGCTCCACGCTGAAGAACATATCTTCCCCGCTCTCCGTCTGAACACTGAAGCAGTGCCTCCTTTTGTCCAAAAGGTCACTGTCCTAAGATAACACAGACAAGCTGACATGTCAGACAACACTAACACAGATAACTGACAGGCTTTCCCAACGATGGTGTCTAATCTAATGTGCCATCTCATAAACTAAATTGCAATATAAGGTCATCCTATGGAGATGATTGCATTGGTGGATCTACTTACATCAAGCTATTCAAAATCTGTTTCTAATAACAAGAGGCAGAAGAATTCTCGCTGTGGAATTCAAAGTGACCTCAGACCTGCAGAGAATAACAACTACAAGCCTTAAGTGTGTCTGTGAAACAGCCATAAGAACCCATGCAAATGTACTGTATAAGTGAGTCATATGAGAACATCCCTCAGATTCACCACTACTGTTTAATATTCTCCTGGTGTGCTCTGTTAGTGATACACCACTCTAAATGCTTGGAGATTTGAGTAAAAAGAGAGACTGTGATACCTTTAAAATTTTGCACATTATTTCATACACGGTAAAGCTTTTCTCCGCTCTGGTCCAGTCCCACGTCGTCACCTGAAAACATCACAGTAATATTGCATTTGATTTGAGAAACGCTTCAACAGAGAGTATTAAAAATCTCAGGAACTGTGCTTAACACGAACAATAATTTGTTAGTCTTGTTTTTCGACAGAGCTTTCCTTTTCATAAACGTTAAGAACAACAATGTGATGAATAATGCAGAGTGCTTTTGCTTTTCAAAATTCAAATCTAGACCACTTGATGATTAAATTGGACTTGCTTACCAACTGATGCATGCAGTGCAATGCAAAAGTAATCATACCGATACAATTTTTTCACATATCAATTTATGTAACTGAGAAGCACTATTGTATACTAATGCATAGTAGTACATTTATGTGAAGTGTAAGGAAAATTCTCTAATCAATCTAAGCTTACTTAGATTGAGAGAGCCTGACAATGACAATTCTCCGATCTGGCAGACATCAGTTGTATTAGGTTCTGGACTCTAACCCTACCATTCCAACACATATTTATGCTGTGATGGTGACAGTTCACTGCTGTGTTGGTAGGGGAAGCGCTCCAGCATTCTCTAGTATTCTACTTTCTGACAGGTTGTCCTTCTGGATTACACTTCATTTTGCTCCATCCATCTTCCAATCAACTACCTTTCGTGCCCTGCAGAAGGAAGCATTGCTTTTGCATTATGCATTGTTATTCAGGGTGATGCGTTAGCCATCCACCATGCTAGGTGTTAGATCCTGAACAGGGATCTATGTTTGCTGTGTTTTCTACACGGAAAAAGGAAAACTGCTAATGAGCCATGATATGGCTTCAATGACAGCTTTCTTTTCCCATATCATTTGTACTACTAACAAATCCCTTCATCTCAATAGGGACTCTGTTATTTAAATATGTGATTTTTAAAGCAGTCAGCTGCTCTGTATTTTAACTAGGGATATCAATCCTACAGGGGGGTAAATAAAAATCCATTCCACATTTTAAAAAATGCTATTCATGAATAAAAAAACTGAATAAAATGAAATGTATCATTCTTTTTAATGTAGATCTATGGAATAAAATCACAGTAAAACAGTTTATGTTTCTAACTGGACAAAACACAAAAAAAGGCTTTAAATCCTTTCCAAGCATTAGTAGTTGGCATTCAAACTCAAGTTTAATGAAGAAACAGGGAAACTAAAATCCCAGATAAACTAGTTTTCAGTAGTAAAACATTTCCTGACTTTGAAACATGCAGTCTCTTATGTCCCCTCATCCCCTATTAGCATATTCCATTTATTTTAGCACAATCACCATCAGCAGCCAATTTCAGTTATCTATCAATCTCTTCCCATCAACAGCATCGTTGACAGCTTATCCCTCTCATCATAATAGCCCAAATGGCTGGCAGAATGTAAACACATTAAATGATCAGCATCAATCAAGAAGAAGATCAATGCACCACAGATGATTATGAGTGAGCTGCTTCCTGTTTCTCAACAGGGAAGTTTTTTTTCATTTTCCTAAACAATAAATTACCTTAAATGAAAATGAGCCATCCCCTGAGTAAAAGATGAAACATCAATCCAGAAACAGAAGTTTGATCTGATGAAGTGGAAACTGGAGTGACACAAGTGAAGGCTTACTGGAGGAGCTGTGAACTTGAAGAGTGAGGAACCCCTCAGAGCGAGAAACTTTGGTGAGTACATCCGGTCCTGAACAGAGTCCTGCTCTTTCTCGTCCACCCAGCCCATGTAGATGATCTGTCCAATAAATAAAAATTGTTTTAAAGCTTTGAAAGCTTTTAAAATATATTTTTTTTACCATGAAATAAAAAAAAAATAAAAATGTTATCATTTAATCTTATCATCTATAGGAAAATTTCAAACCTTATTTTTTTGGCACTAAAACCAACTTTGTAATGCTGTGAAATAAAGTGCCAGAAAAAATAAGGATTTTGCACCTGCAGAAAAGTAGTTTTTTTTATGTCTTTCATCTTTGGAGACCTGTAGAAAACAGTTTTAGTCTTGTAAAAAGTCTTATATTTTTGGCTTGTCATTTTTGCAAATAGAAAACACCGTATGAGACATAGAACGCAAAAATCTACATATAAACTCAGTTGGTCTCTTTTTATTGTTCTTGGGTTGCAAATGCAAATCTTGGCACAATCTTCCATTTCCGAACTGACTCAACAGTCACAGCTTTGTATCTGTATAGACATTTTTACACATTGCACAGTAGATGAGCAGCTTTAATCAGAATAGCAAACAATTTTGTTTGTTTCAATTAGAAAGGAGACTGAGAGGGGCTCTATTATTATACCCAGATGATGTTATTTTATACAGCATCAGAATCAGATTTCAACCAGTTCAATTCAAATCAATTTATTATATAGCCCCAATAAATCAAGTTATTGACTTGCAAGACATGCACCTTGTGATGGACCGAGTTAAAAAAACAGGAGGAGTCACAGGATATTAATTAGAAAAATAGGGTTTTTTATTTTAACCCAAAAAATAGATGACAAAAGATAAACTGAGCTCATAAAAGAGGTCAAAGAAACAAAACTGAACTCAGGCAAAAATGTAAACAAACTGGCTGTACAAACAAACATAACTGACCTACAAAGAAATGACAGACAGGGGTATATATACTGGCTGATCAGACCAATTTAGACACAATAGGGGTAACTAAACAGAATACAATTACAAACAAAACAAATAACAGTACAGCTAAGTTTGACTAAACTAAAGACTCACAAAATGAAAATCAAAACCATTAAAGTCCAAATACCAATATTCACCTAAATGCAAAAACTCATCTAAAGAAGGAAACTACACATTCCCCCGCCAGCAAGGACCAGTGGTGCAGTCCAATCAGCATCCAAATTTGCTGAGCCCTGGCCCCCCCATCTTTTGTCAGCTTCAGAGTGTGGCCATGGATTTGGCCATCACACACTCCCCCACTTCCTGATCTTCCCTCTGGCTCCGAGAAAGGTAATCAGCAGTGGTGTTGTCCTTGCCGGGGATGTAGTGAACCTTAAACCGAAATGGCTGCATAGCAAGGTACCATCTGGTGATTCTCCCATTAGTGTCCTTCATTCTTTCCAGCCACTGGAGGGCTCTGTGATCAGTCTGAAGTGTGAATTCTCTTCCTAGCAAATAATATTTGAATGAGTCAAGGGCCCATTTAATAGCCAAGGCTTCCTTCTCCACGGTTGCATAGCGCCCCTCTCTTGGCAGCAGCTTGCGGCTGATGTAGGCAACTGGATGTTGGTCCTCCGGTGGTCCCTGCAGAAGCACTGCCCCAAGGCCTCTTTCAGAAGCATCAGTCTGCAACACAAAGTCTTTTGCAAAATCAGGTGAGTGCAAAACTGGATTCTTACTCAGAGATTGGCTAATGTCCTTAAATGCTGCAATAGCCTCTGCTGTCCACTGAATTTTAGTGGGACTTCTGGAGCCCGTCCTGTCTGTTAGGAATGCTGCTCTAGCTGAAAAATTAGGAATGAATCTGTGGTAGAATGCAGCCATGCCAAGAAAAGACCGCAGCTGTTTCCTGGTTTGTGGGAGCGGACAGGATGCTATCGCATTGATTTTATCAACTTGAGGTTTCAGAGTACCACCTCCAATGGTGTACCCCAAGTACTGTATTTCTGTCCTGGCAAGAGCACACTTTGCTGGATTGATGGTAAGGCCTGCTAAACGCAGCCGATCCAGGACCTCCTTTAGATGGTGAACATGCTCTTCCCAAGTTGCACTGAAAACCACAACATCATCAAGGTATGCACAGGTGAATGCTGAGAGCCCAGAGAGTACCTGATCCATTAGTCTTTGAAATGTTGCTGGGGCCCCATGGAGACCGAATGGCAGGACTGTGAACTCGAACAATCCCCAGGGGGTGCGAAACGCTGTCAGCTCCTGGGACTGTTTAGTGAGAGGCACCTGCCAGTACCCCTTAGACAGATCAATAGTTGTTAAGTATCTTGCTGCCCTCAGGTGCTCAATGAGGTCATCAATACGTGGCATTGGGTAAGAGTCAAATTTTGATATAGAGTTGAGGTACCTGAAGTCGATGCAAAATCTTATTTTGCCATCCTTTTTCGGAACCAACACAACAGGGTTGCACCACTCACTTGTTGAAGGTTGGATGATTCCTAGAGACAGCATGAGGTCCATCTCCTCCTTCAGCTCCACCCGGAAGCGTTCGGGTATCCTGTAACTCATACGCTTTATGGCAGCATCTGGTTTTAGAACAATGCTGTGCTCCACCAGAGTGGTGCGACCTGGACACTCTTGAAATATGTCAGAAGTAATAAGAGGTGTTACCTGAGACTGTTGCTCGCTGGTGAGATGGCTTAGGTCCAGCACAGAGGATGTTACTGAGGGCAAATAGTCATTAACTTCTTCCTCCTCCTCCACTCTGTGAATAAGCAACACCTCAGTTTCATTCTCCTTCCTTGGAACCCACTCCTTGAGAAGGTTAACATGGAGCACTCGACTCCCTCGCTGGAGACCTGGTGTAGAGACTTGATAGGTAGTAGGTCCAGTTTTCCTCAGTACTTCAAAGGGTCCCTGCCATTTTGCTAGCAACTTGCTGTCAGAAGTTGGCAACATTACCAAAACCTTCTGGCCAGGAGCAAAACTTCTGTGGCGAGCTTTCTTGTCAAACCAAACCTTTTGGTGTTTCTGAGCAGCTGCCATGTGACTCTGAGCCAACTCACTCATTTGCTGCAGTTTATCCCTCATATGGAGAACAAATGAAATAATGTTGACTGGATCCTCTTTACTCTGATCTCCCTCCCATGCATCTCTTAGCAGGGTCAGAGGGCCCCTCACATCATGGCCATAGAGGAGCTCAAATGGGGAGAAACCAGTGGAAGCCTGAGGAACCTCCCTGTAGGCAAAAAGGAGGTATGGCAACCACTGGTCCCAATCAGAGCCTGTATCATTCACAAACTTACGTAGCATTTGTTTGAGAGTTTGGTTAAAGCGCTCTGTCAGGCCATCCGTCTGTGGGTGGTATGGTGTTGTCCTCATGCTCCTGATGCCCAACAGCTTATAGACCTGTTTCAAGAGTGTGGACATAAAGTTAGTGCCCTGATCGGTTAAAATCTCCTGTGGAAATCCAACCCTTGAGAAAAATTGAACCAGTGAGGAAGCCACATGTTTTGCTTTAACAGTCTTTAGTGGAAAAACTTCAGGATATCTTGTTGCATAGTCTGTGATGACAAGCATGAAGCGATTTCCAGATTTACTTTTTTCCACCGGGCCCACTACATCCATCCCAAGGCGTAGAAAGGGTGTACCAATAATGGGAAGGGGTTGAAGTGGTGCTTTGCTAGGGACTCTCATTGAGGTTTTCTGACACTCAGGGCAGCTTCTGCAAAATAAAGCAACATCTGATCTTAAACCAGGCCAGAAAAAATATCGCTTGATGCGAGCAGTGGTCTTATACTTCCCAAGGTGGCCAGCCCAGGGAATAGAGTGTCCCAAAGTCAGCACTGTTTCACGAGCCTCCTTAGGGACAACTAACTGCTTAAACTGGCCATGTTGATGATATAAAATGCCATCTTGCAGTATATACTGCTCTTTATTTGTGTCAGAACCTACAGAGGCCTCCCTCCTAGCCTTCAGCAACAGGGCAAATAAAGTTGGATCATTCTGCTGCATTTGTCTGATGTTTGTGGGTATTGAAAAACCCAGTGGCATATCTGGAGCCACTTCAACTGAAGTCTCACCCAATGCATGTTGAAATTTCTCACGCCTTCTTTGGCTGCGTGGCTTCCGAGACTTCCCAGGTTCCGTCTGCAACTCAGCCTCGAAAAAAGGTAAAGCACTAAGTGTTGCAAAATGCTCATCTTGATTTTTAGCTTGGGCTCTGGTTACAGCCACGTTACAGCTCTGCACATCCCTCAATAAGTCATAGATGACAGGCAGATCCTCCCCCAAAACTACAGGATAGGGTAGGTTATCAGCTACCCCAACCTTCAACAGATAGGGAGCTCCCTGCACCTCAACAAACATCAGCAGTGGGGTATGATTTCTCATCACCATGTACACAGCGAACTGCTATCGTTTCAGAAGGGCATATACAATTAGTTGGTACATGGTTCTTGTGCACTAGAGTCTGTGTGCTGCCAGTATCTATTAAAGCATTTATTTCATGCCCAGCAATCTTCACTGTAATGATTTTACTTGACTGCTTTATTTCAAGTTTAACATCCACATTCTGATGAGGCACAAAACACACTTGAGTTAGCTTACTTTGATTCTTAGGGCACATGGGTTTGGTGTGACCTTCTTGTCCACAGAGGTAACACACTGGAGGCCTTTTTCCTGCCTTAGAAGGCTGGTTTTCTCCTAAAAAAGGCTTACCCCCACCCTTTGCTAGCTTCTGATGAGGCTGATAAGGTGGTAACCGACGTGAATCTTTGGCAGCTCTCCATGCACTGTTGCTCCATGGCTGACTCCTACTTCTGGCAGCCACAAACACGTCAGCGAGAGTAGCAGCTTCTGCAGCAGACTTCGGATCGTGCTCCTTGATCCAAACCTGAAGCTCAGGACACAACATTCTCAAAAATTGTTCCAGAATAATCAGTTCACCAACTTGTTTCACAGTTTTATCTTTAGGCTGAACCCACTTCTCATAAAGTTCTTTCAGCCTTGAATATAATTCTTTTGGACTCTCATCAAGAACATCAAGGCAGCGAAATCTTTGTCGGTAAGTTTCTGGATTTATATCATATTTTTGTAAAATGGCAGCTTTTACCTTTCCATATTCCAGGGAATCATCCACATCCATGTTAACATAGGCACAGCGAGCCTTACCCGTCAGAAGAGGAATGAGATGGAAAACCCAGTCCGATTGTGGCCAACGATAAGCAGCTGCAATTCTCTCAAATGTGGTCAGAAAGTGCTCAACATCATCTTCAGCAGTCAATTTTTCCAATTTAGGATGAGGAAGGTGCACAGACTGACCTGTTGAGCTGAAAGCTGAATCCTCAGGTTGAGATGTTGCTTGAATCTGATCAATTTGAGTTGTAACAGGTGGTGAATCAGTTGATGTGGGCTCAGGGGGCGGGGTTGTCCTGGCCTGTATTTCCATCTGCAAAAGCCGAAACTGATGTTGCAAGCTCCTAAAGCGCTGTTCTTGTTGTGCAGAAACTTCTCTCTGCTTTTTCTCCCGAACTTCCTGTTGTCCCATGAAAGCCCGAAGAATCCCAGCAATATCATGCAGAGTTGGCTCTCTGGGCTCCTCCTCATCAGTGGCTTCAGCTGCTGCTGCTGAAGCTCCTCCTTCCATTTCCTCTCTCTCTGATTGCTGGGAAGCCTCTTTGGTCTCCACCTTATTTCCTTTTCTTGGGCGCAGACCGTTCTGCATGGCTCAAAAAGTTTGTTGGTGGGGGAAAAATTGCTCACACAAAAAAAAAAAAAAAGAGAAAAAAAATCCTGGCTCCTCAACTCAAAATCCTCACTTCTGACACCACATGTGATGGACCGAGTTAAAAAAACAGGAGGAGTCACAGGATATTAATTAGAAAAATAGGGTTTTTTATTTTAACCCAAAAAATAGATGACAAAAGATAAACTGAGCTCATAAAAGAGGTCAAAGAAACAAAACTGAACTCAGGCAAAAATGTAAACAAACTGGCTGTACAAACAAACATAACTGACCTACAAAGAAATGACAGACAGGGGTATATATACTGGCTGATCAGACCAATTTAGACACAATAGGGGTAACTAAACAGAATACAATTACAAACAAAACAAATAACAGTACAGCTAAGTTTGACTAAACTAAAGACTCACAAAATGAAAATCAAAACCATTAAAGTCCAAATACCAATATTCACCTAAATGCAAAAACTCATCTAAAGAAGGAAACTACACATTCCCCCGCCAGCAAGGACCAGTGGTGCAGTCCAATCAGCATCCAAATTTGCTGAGCCCTGGCCCCCCATCTTTTGTCAGCTTCAGAGTGTGGCCATGGATTTGGCCATCACACACCTGCTGGATGAGCATGTGACAATAGTAGACATTAACTTGCATTTTAGAGTGTGAAATGTGGTGCAGTTTGTAGCCCTGTTTCCTTGCAGCAAGCAGGTTCTGGGTTAATTTCCCAGCGCAGGGTCTTCTGCATGGAAATTGTATGTTCTCCCATTGCATGTATGGATACCCCCAGTCCAAAAAGATGGATGGATGGATGGATGGATGGATGGATGGATGGATGGATGGATGGATGGATGGATGGATGGATGGATGGATGGATGGATGGATGGATGGATGGATGGATGGATGATATTCTTTATGGCAATTGTTGATTAGATCTTGCTCTTACTTAGATAGAGCTTCTATCCTGAAAGCTGTAAATGTATTATATTCCAGTACTAATAAAACAATTTAAAATAAGCAACTGAATAATAATTCAACTTTAAAACAGAAATAGTTGACTTTCCTTCTCTATATTTTATACTTCATTTGTTACCTCTTTTAACTTGTTGTTTCATTAAGCAGCCTATCTTTATCCAATGATTTCACACTTGATTTATAGAGAAAAATTCTTCCTAAAACAGGAGTAATTATTTATTTTTGTCTAAAGCTTTATTGTATTTCATGATTTATGATGTGCTAAAAAGAGGTATCACAAACCACTACGTATCAAACTTTAATTCTGATGTGTCAAAAACTTCCATACTTAAAAAAGAAGTTTAATTTTGGCTTAATTCATTATTAAAGTTTATCTCAGAAGTGCCATATTTCATACATAATTAAAGAATTATAAATATGAAAGTGTCTTAAACCCGGAAAAGAAAACAATATTTTTGTTTGTGAAGTTTTTATCATGGCTTCCATCAGCTGGAAATGTTACTTTTGTAAAACTAAAAAGAAATATGTGATTCAGGGTGTTGGGCAAAGGTGACTGCATCAGGGAAAGTTGGTTTGATTCTAACAAGCTTATTTACTAATCCAGCAAAATCATTTAAAGCCTCAGAAATAACCCTCACCTGTACTGTTATAGCTTTTGTCTGCTCTATTTATTTGAAGAGGAAGATTTTCTCTATCTCTATTTCTCTAACCATTCGGGTCTGTTCTCATTAAAGGTGTTGTGGCTGTCCTGCTATTCCAAGTCAAAACATCTGAAGAGAAAAATGTTTTCAGGTTGCAAAACAGCTTCAAAAGCTCCACAAATGGTAGATTGTGACAGCTAATGTGATGTCTCCTTTTTGACAAAATGCATCAAATCTTTAAGTAAAGTGTAAAATCTTTAGTCGATCTCTCTTATCTTCCTACTGTGCCTTGCGAAAGTATTTGGCCCCCTTAAACTTTTTGATATTTTGCCACATTTCAGGCTTCAAACGAAGATATAACACTAATTTTCCTTAAAGAATCAGCAAGTGGGGCACAGTCATGAAGTCATAAATTATTGGATATCTTTAACCTTTTTAGAAAATAAAATAACTGAAGAGTGGGGTGTGCAAAATGAATCAGTCCCTTTACTTTCAGTGCAACAAACTTTTTCCAGAAGTTCAGTGAGGATCTCTAAATGATCCAATGCGTGTAATCAAGTCTCCGTATAAATGCATGAAGCAAAATCTACAATGGAATAGTTCACAAATAAACATATCCAGGTGTTAGAATGGCCAAGTCAAGTGCAGACCTCAATCCAATCGAGAATCTGTGGAAAGAACTAAAAACTGCTGTTCACAAACGCCCTCCATCCAACCTCACTGATCTGAAACTGTTTGGTAAAGAAGAATGAGTAAAAATTTCAGTCTCTCAATGTGCAAAACTGATAGAGACATAATCCAATCGACTTGCAGATGTAGTCGCAGCAAGAGGTGGCACTATAAAGTATTAACTCAGGGGGCTCAATCATTTGCACAACAAATTTTTCAGTTTTCAATTTGTTATAAAAAAATCCCACAAATTTTGTTCCACTTCATGATTGTGTCCCAGTTGTTGTTCATTTTTCACAAAGAATTACAATTATATATCTTTATGTATGAAGCCTGAAATGTGGCAAAAAGTTGAAAAGTTCAAAGGGGCTGAATACTTTGGTAAGGCACTGTAAGCCTGAAATTGGCACTAGTTTTAATCTCCATTCATTTCTTCAAAACCCACCAACAGACTGGAAACTTTGCAGGGTTCAGAACAAGCCCAAACATTTTAAAATCTGCCGATATTGTGAGCCAGCACCTCCCTTCTACTTGTGACTGCGCACTGTTGCTATGTGGGGCTCTGCGCGCCTCCGACAACGAAATCATATTTTAAGGCAGGATAATAATCTTGATGAACCGGCTGCACGAAAAAATGCTTTGAGGTGGACTTTCTCGTTTAAAGATATATTAAAACCACTTTTTACCCACTTATCACAGCAAATAGAGCAAAGCCGCTCTCTGCCATTGAACAGTATCAGCAGAAGTATCGGACGCATCTCTACAGACTTTACTGGACGCGCTTCAGGAGCATCAAAGATACCCTTTAGGTGCGTCTGACCTTTATGTGTACAAGCATCAAAAATTAACCAGCTGTCGTTTTTTGCTGGTGAAATTGCGTACAGTGTGAACGTAGCATTAAATCCTGAATTTAGGTTGGAAGCTGGGAATAAAAAAAAAAAAAAAAGAAAAAATGTCTTTAATGTATTTATTGTTTCATTAGAACCAGCCATGGATTTAAGAATCAACAAAATATATTACCCAGTGAGTAATCCCATTCTATTTAAAGGTACCAATACATTTCTACGCATTATATTATCTATCATTTGCAATACTTGGGAGTTAAAGACAAGAACACTGCTTGACATCAGCAACTAACATAACATTTATATGTGGAAGTGGTCCTTATATTATTTTTTAAGTCTGCAGAAACTAATATAATGCATTAATTCCTGTTGTCCAAGCAGTGTTTATTTTATATATCTGTTTCTTTTTCACATTTATTAGCACTATGTTGTTTCTATATGTTTGGTTATCTAATTTTTACTATATGTGGATGAAAATTAAATAATAGAGGTTTTTAGGGTACAACAATGGTACACGTGAGTAATTTTTCACTGTGAATTGTTCTGTTTAAATTACATGTCTGGTTTGTTTAGTTGTTTTGTTGTGAGGCAGATGCTGAAGTAAATAAGCAATGAGCCCTTGATGCATGGTTAATTCTCTTCATTTAGACCAAAAGATGAAATGACGAGTTAACTGAGTGAAAGCACTTAAGTGGTTTTCTCATCGTCTCCCAATGGACAGACTTAAATGATGCAAGTGCCTCCCATGTGCTGTAATAGCTGGTAATACAGAGTTTCTTCTTTTGACTTAAAGACCTGCTCAGAATTACTTATTTTATTGTCAGCTAAGGAACAACACTAAAGTTAACAAAATACATTTAGTTGAAGAATTAAGAAAATATCTTACCTGTTGGTTCACAGGAAAATTCCTATTAATCTTCTTCACCTACAAAATTCAACAACTGGGTCAATAAGCACACAAACATTTCTTGCAAAATTTAAGAGACTCAATTTGCTTCATAATCACATTGCAAAAAAACAAATAAACAGGAGTTAAAATGCATAAAAAACAGTATTAAGAAAGCACACTCATTAAAGGACTGTTTATTCAAAGTATGCAAATTTCAAAATGGATGGACCCAGTCTTTTCCACATGCTCCTGAGGCTCTTCCTAAAAAAAATGCATTTAAAAAATCCATTCTCTCTGCAGTAATAAAAGAGAGATCAGTCAAGCTTCAAATTAAAAGCCTGTGTTCAGATCACAGGTATCACTTGCACCTAATCCACAGCAACGCTATCAATAAAACTCTTTCTTAGAAGCTGAGCTCCAAATTAAGATGTCCATTCAGAAGTCCGTCCTCCTACAAAGATGAGAACAAGCCAGAGGAATGAGCTAGTTTTAGCTACATTATTTATAATGTAGCCTTAATTTATTATTGTTAATTTAAAATCATGAGTTTTAAAAGCAGATTCGGTTTGTAATTATTTTGTTTAATTGCCTTAAAACCAATGTCAATGTAGTTTACACATAATAGCTGCAATAATAAATCTGTGAATTGTATTTTTTGAGGGAACTGTTAATATAGAAAGGGTAATAAACAATATTATATTTTTCTTCTAATTATGTTCTATATTTTTAAAGACACTAAGATTATTCAGCATAGCTTGGCAACAAAGCTCTAGACAGGACAGTCAGATTTTGTTTTACATCTTTTATTGGTCATTCATGTCTTATTCTACATAAATACGTATGTTTTATGTTTTACATTAAAATGATAAAGGAATAATCTGTATAATCTCTCCACATGTTTGTGTAATTAATGGAGGAATTTCCCTTTTTTATTTTATGTTTGACTAAAACTAAAGCTATTTATTCATTCTTCTGGTCCCCGTAAGGGCAACCAGCAATAAGTAAGAAAACTAAAACTTATTTCAGTTTTGGAGAAAAAAACCTAAACTATTATATTTACTATACTTACTAAGATGTACCTTAAAGGCAAGCATTTTCTTACAATAGTTACAGGAAACGCATTTGAAGATTATCTTTAAACTTCCAAATAAACATCAAAACTTCGCCTGTAAAGAGAAAGAATGATCCCAGCCCAATGCACACTGACTGAACTTGAAAATACACTTAACAGTGGGAGATGCTGAATGTCACTGAAGTAAAGCTTTAAAGATTTCCACTGAATTGAATCAGCACCTCTGAGCCCGGGTGTTCAGGCTGCACTTTGCTGGGAACAGCTGGAAACTTGAAGCTGAGCTGTGATTAAAAGGAAAAAAGTACACTTGTATTCAAGGTCAACACATAAGAAACACAACACGGTGTGAGGAGTAGAGTGCCCGAACATGAACGCAATGAATCATTAGAAGTGAGTCATCGTCAAGCCTAATCCAAACATCTGATCTGATTCACAATTCGTGCTTGGAAATAAGATGGCAGACAGACTTCAGCTTACAATAGCTGCATCTCCCCTGAGCAGCAGCTGACTGGTGGGAGTCATTAGGCGCAATGGAGCAAGTACTTCCTTTCATAATGTCCTCAATGATGCCTTCAAATGCATCACTAAACAAATTTAAGAGGGGTTTCATGTACACTGAGATGGCCTCTCCAGCCACTAGACCAGAACATCAGTGAGCCTTTATGGGAGATCACCGACCAAAGAGAGCGGAGTGGATTTTCATTTTTCCACCATCGCTCAGAGAAATGGAAGCGTCTCATGGTGACATATGGCACATGTTTGACTGCAAACAGATTGCTAAAAAATACTGAATCCACAAGCATAAAAAGTCAACTCATTCATTATCTTTTTGAAACGATAAAGATGAATATATTTTCTCCCTTTTTGGAAGATCTAACCATACATTCACCAGACATTTCCATAGGTTATAAATATGCACACATTTTTTCCCTCTCACATTAAGCCATTTTTAACTCTTTTCTTTTTTGACAAGTTGGGATATTAAAATTATTTCACTAAGAAAAACACACAAAAAAAACTGGCATTAATGTTTTTGGCCAATGTTGCATTTATAGAAAAAAAAATAAAGCTTGCAAGCCTAAAAAGTATCATCTGAACCATTAAGTACAGGAGTGGCGGCTACTTTTTGGCTATTTTACTGCAAGACGGTCTGATGCACCTCACAAAAAACAGGCAAGATCTAGATTTCAATATAAAGCCAAACATTTGTTATAATCAAGCCTTCCAAAACGACATGATCCTAAGAATTAGTTCAAAAAGTAGCTTAAGGAAAAAAAAAAGTAAATGTTTTAGAGTGGCTATATCATGGTACTGATCTCAGTGCCGCAGAAAACATGTGGGCGGAGCTGAAAATGACTAGAGCAAGGCAGCTGAAACACCAGACTCAATTAAACCTGTTCTGTAAGAAGAATGGCCCCAAATTCACCAAACTATTGAGAGAAACTTACTTAAAGAACCCCAAAATGTTCTTTCACAATTTCCATCCTTTTGACAAGCATTGAATTTATATTCTGGGAGAGGGCTTGTCAAAGGTTGGTCTATGCTTTTTAAACGCTGACCTGTCAGCTCATCAGACATTTTACTGTTGATGCACTTTGTCAACTTGACATCAAGCAAACACTGAAGGTGCCATTAACAGGGCCATGTAGCTCAGTCTGTGGGGCTTAAAAAAACAAATATCTACAACCAACAAATCCTTATGTGTTGAGCTTATTGCATATAAAAACTAGCAAACTAGCATTAGACAGTATTAGCGTGACACATGTCATCTTATATCCTTCAGTTTGCAGCTCCAATACTTTGTGTATTTATCCAGCAGATTCCCAGAGGCTTCTCTCTGTCTGTCTATCTAACTAAGCCATAAAGTAAGCAGCAGTTTCTAGCTAAGAGACTGGTGAGAGGCTGAAGTAAAACATCACCAAGAGATCCAGAGATAGGGGAGGTCGGAGGGGGGTTTAATGCATCCTTCAGTCTTTTTTGCTTTATAAACAAACAACAAATAGAGTGCTGATCAGGTATGTTTGTGAAGGAGGACAGCAGGAAAAGAAGCACCTGTAGTTATAAGAAACAATAGTTTTACCTTACAATAGCTACATGCACATAGGTTCTTTCTCGTGGCTACAACAAACTATGTTTGCTTTGAAGAAATCTGGGGGGTTTGCCAAGAAAGAATATTTTTTGTATGCTCGTTAATATATTAAAACTACGGACTACCCCTGAGGTAATCGGAGCCTCTGTATTTGTATGTATATATCGTGTTTGAATTGCAAATATTTATTGTGGATTAACAGGCTAAAAGGTGTATTTTTCTTGTGCTTTTCTTTAACTCCCTTTGGAACTCTGTTGGACTTACACAATAATTACTTAATCAATAACCTAGTTTATATGTCCCAAAAGCCTTTCTTATGTTCCCTCACTGTGATGAAAGCAGGTGGAAAACAGACGACTTAAGGGATGCTATGGCAATAAATCACTAAATCTAATTTGAAAAAGCCAAACAAAGAAGTGTAAAATGTAATAGTTTCTCATCAATTTTCATTCTCACCATCAGCCTTTGCACTAAGACTCTCTGAGCAGAAATCTGCACCTCCTGCATCAGTCTGAGCTACTCCTGCAGCTCGCTCAAACACCTCGGTAAATGCCAAGGCTGGAGAGAGAAATGCGGTGAGTCATCTGTGTTGTGTTTAGTGTGTGTGTCCCTCACTTAGTCCACTCCAATTAAACAGGACTCCATTCCCCCCACCTCACCCACCCAAACACAGCACATCCCCATGGCCACCCAATAATTACAAAATCCTCTTTTTTTCTGCTGTAAGTTATATTTCACATTCATGTCCCTTGGAGAGCCTGCAGAAAACCCAATTTCTGTCTATCCTGATGAATCACAATTCCTTATTAATATTGCTTTCTACAAAGAAACAATAGAGATATAATACTGAGCTTTTTTTTGACATCCTTGATTGTGTAAAAAGAATATGAACACATTCATATAATGTTTAAGTAGTATCATGAGGCATGAAAATGATCAAAATAGAAGTATCAACCATTATGTACTTATAGTTAATAACTGTTTAAAAAGAAATTATGATTAACAAGTTTTATAAGTTATGGGCTATTGTCTGTTGTTTTTTTTTTACCAACAGCAATAGTGTCACTTTAACTATGGGTATACACTGTATGATTTTTTTGCCTTTCTGGGCCAATTTTCCAGTCATGCAAGAATTTTTCGATCGGGCTGACTTTCAGCCTTATCATGTATGGCAAATTGCTCAGCAGGCATGCGCAAACAAGGATTCTTCTTCTTCTTCCTCTCATGAAGAATGGCAGAATGCGAGTGAAATTGAGTTTTATCTGCAAAATTGACAGATCGTAGTAGCCACGTTTGCTCAGCCATGTCTTTGTCCATATATGTTGTTGCTTTTTCTTTTTAGGGTTTACCGTAAAAAAATGGCCCAAATTGCCAACGCAGCGTGTTTCACTCTAGGGAGCTTAATATTCCTCTTCTACTCTTTTGGCTTCCAGATAGACAAGTCCTAGTAGCTCCATCTAACTGCAGAGCTGAGTCCGACGTAGTTTTCAGATGTACAGTGTGAGCAGATAGATCGCATCATAGTGTCAGGCCACACAGTGTGAGAACATACATCGTGAGCTGGAGGAATGCATAAAGCCGTATGCCCGGCTTTATGCAGGGGTGGGCAATTCCAGTTCCTGGGGGCCAGTATCCTGTAACTCTTAGATCCATCCTTGGTCCAACACACCTGAATCAAATGGCTGAGTTACCTCCTCAGTATGCAGTCAGTTCCTCCAAAGTCTTCTCAATCATTTAATTACTTGATTCAGGTGTGTTGAACCAAAGGCACATCTAAAAGTATCAGGATACCGGCCCTCAGGAATCGGAATTGCCCACCTTTGGGTTAGCGCATTGAACTTGGATCCCAAAGCTTTTGAGTTCAAGCCCCACTCCCCACAGACTGCCACTCTGGGTCCCTGAGCAAGGTCCTTAACCCCACACTGCTCTCTGGGCACCACACATTCCCCAAAGGAATGGGTTAAATGCAGAGTGTTTGTTGTTGTGACAGTGTTGTAAAGTTGCAATACAGTTAATTCCATTCTATATTCTGCTCTATGCTAGCAAGGAGGTTCAAGAATATTGAAAAACTGAGTAAATATGTGAGTAAATATCCAGCGTTATTTCACTGCTTACCTGATATCAATCATGTTATTTTGCTGCTAGAATTTTCCTGTTCTGTGAGGCCCATGTCAGATATTCTCCTAGCACCAATATCTCTGGACAAAAATCTCACTGCTGCTTCCTGTCTTGCTCCTGGAATTGTCAGTCTATATCTGACTCCCTGTGCTTGACTTTATTTTTCTCCCATGTCTACCAATTCAAGCCTGTTCCTTGGGTTCTGTTGCTGGGGTCCATTTCAAGAAGCAGGTTTAACAAATTCAGATTCAAATCCTCAACTCTAAATTGATCTAGCCTAACTCTGAGTTTTCAGTTTCACAGTGGCTGCTATTAATTAGTTCAATCAACTGTGACTAGGTCCACTCAGAGTTGGACATGTGCGTAACAAGTATGAAAACCCATTATAGTGGAGCCCCGATTCGATGAATCACCATGACTGGACCCCACTGGAACAAGAGATTTCGGACAGAACTAGAGAAGAAAAAAAAATTTGAGAATGTGTTTAAAAGACAGAGAAACAGCGCTAAAGCTGCAAAGGAGAGGAAATCTTTAATGCCTTTAACGCATAGGTTTATATCAAGTCACTATGGCAGGCCATTTTTTTAATTTTTATTAAAAGCAATCTCTTCTCAGTTGTTCCATTTGTAGATAAATAAAATAGGATTATTCCTGGTCAAAATCACATTTCTAGACTGAACTGTAATAATAAAGGTTATAAATTACATTTTGCAGTAGAAACTGAATTTCAGAAAGGTAAAAAAAAATTAAAAAATTATAGAAGTAAAAATTACGTTTTATGTACCTAGAAATATGTTTACACATTTAAATGTGATACCTGAAATAAATTTTTTCATAGTCAAAATAATACATAATACAAATGCTGACCAGTAAAAATAGGAATATGAGATTAATTTCTAGACACCAGGAATGTTTATTCTAGATGCGAAGAATGTCATTTCGAAATGGCCAATTTGACAAGGAAAAAAAGATTTTTCAGATATCGGGAATTCAATTAAACTAATACATCAAAACGGCTTGCCATAGCCTGTTGTCACCACGATAATATTACAGGTTTATTTCATGTATCATAGTTGATCGATGTATTCTATTTAGGTGAGAATAAAAAACATTGTTCTAAGAGAAAGGACTTGCACATCATCTCATGGGCTTCATCCTCTTGTTGATTCTGTCTTCCATCACACAGTAAATACTAAGTGGCTGTTGGATGTTATGACCCCAATAAATGGTTATTAGAGGTTATCAGCCCCATAGAATGGCTTCAGATTGTTCCAGTAGACACAGTAGTTTGTTATCACCGAGTGAATCCTAATCCTAAGGTATGTCCTTTTCTCCATTCGGAATAAGTTTATCTATTTATGTGTAACCTGAAAATAATTTCAGTAGTTGTTCTTGTACTGTAAAGACAAATAAACACAAATAATGATCTGCATGTCGCTCATATTGAACAAACAAAAAACAAATAAATCTCAGATGTTGTCAGCTGAGTTGTAGAATCCACAAAAATGCCAATCATTCTTTAATAAGATCTTTGTCAAACGGATATGCAATGTTTATTTTTAACACCTAATTTGTCCAACTTGGTTAATGATTTTAATGCACAAAACTAAGAGAAAAATCTGCTGATTAAATCAGGAAATAAAACAATGTGATTACGCAGTAAGGAGAGCGGATACAGAGGACACTCCAGTTTTCTGAACAAATCCTGCTCCAGACCAGGTTGGCTATGAGGAGAGTGTTACTATCGTGACTGAAACAGAGGTTGAGGAAACTGTCTTTGTTAAATGAAAAACTCAGAGAACCTGCTTTGTGAAACGGACCCCTCTTTTCTAATTTTACAGATTCGACCCAGTTTTTCTTCACCAGATGTTTGCCTTTTCCCTAAACATTTCCTCTAGACAAAAACTCCCCTGTTCAACCAAGGGAAGGAGTGGATCTCACATTCCAGAAAATTACAGGTACTATCAATATACTACTTTAACTAAAAATAGTTAAAACACATAAGATGCTGTATTTTTAGACTTTAACACAAAGTAAACGAGATCATCTTCATTCCTAAATGTTACTTTCATAATGCTGAATCTTTCACTTTGTTCTTGGTTTGAAGTGATCACATACTCATACAGGTGTACACATTCACATAACACAGCATATGTTTAGTTTAAAGGAGGAAAAGCTGCATCACTTTTAAAAATAAGGGCATTTCATTTTGCCCTCTTGTTGTATCTCTTGTTGATATTTGTTTTGATTTTCAAACTAAAAAATCATTTAGTTCTATTTTTAGGTTATTGAACTAAAAAATGAATGCTTATATCAACTTTTTCTAATTTACAAAATAAGAATGATTGCTCTTTAAGATAATCTTTTTTTTTTGTTAAAATGATTCCTTGTATAATAGTTTTAAGTCTTTGAAAATATTACATAAAAATGCTCAGAAACTTATTGAAACTAGCACATTGATACCTATCATTCTATTTGAAACTGAGCCAAAGTTATTAAGCACCAATGTGAGCAGTCTAAAGAGCCGTTGGGGCTCTAGAGGTGGATACTTGGATGAAATTTAAATTAATGAATGGTTCAGCTCTCCACATCAGTCACAGCTGCGTAAGTAGCCTAACCCTACTAAAGAGGGTGAGTGACTATGTGATCTTTCTGTTTTTTGCTGCTGTTCTCTAACAAAGAGCTTTTGGGAGGTATTCTTACCCTCCTTACCCTCCTGCTCACTTTTGACAGTGGCGAAAATAACATTTCTTCATAAAGATTACAGAAATAAACCCCATATAATTCTATGTTTCCAAGTAAATTTAAAAATAATTTTAAATTCAGTTTAATTTATTCTAGAAAGTCAGTGAAACTATTATCTATTATTTGTGTCCCTGATAGAGCATCAGGGACACATTAATTGAATCACTAATGTTCCATTAAGAAAAAAAAAGACTTTATAAATAAATGCACACATATCCACAAGGTTAGCTATCCTACTTTTTTTTTTTATTGAGATCTATTTACAGCAATAGAGATCAATTTATTTTAGTATCTTTACACATCTTAGCATCCGTGTCTGCCAACGGGGCATGTATTATTCCTTTTTAATGTGATTTTTAAAGAAGTAAAATGTGTAGAAATTATATATTTTATGTGAGATTTTGTGTGAGCACTTCTCTATGATTGAGATAGATAAGCTTGATTTATTTCCTACTTTTACATGAATATAGCCAAAAACATAAAGTCTTTGGTGTACTTGTACTTAGATATCAAATAAAATGATTCGATATGATGACTTTAGAGTAAACGCAAGTGTTTGCTGTAGGAGGATAAGTATAGTTTAATAGTATTGCTTTTGTGTAGATAAGTGTGAAGGTACATTATTACTTGTCTATATTACCTTATGAGACTATATCTTATGAGACATTTCCAAGACAATTAACAAAACAGTAAAAGTGCTGCATGACCAACATGCCCAACACCATCCCTTGGTGATGTATTGTTTGTTACTCACATTGTGCTTGGTGAGACTGGAAATGTTACTGGCTATTGCCTGAAGCCAGTCCAAGCAGTCTTCAGCACTGGGAAACTGTATGACTCCACTGCAGACTCCATCTACTGCTATCACCTGGAAAGCATTTTTCCTAAAAGAACAAAAAAAGGTCTGTTAGCACATATTGGCACAATCATCCTGTGATTTCCATATATATATATATATATATATATATATATATATATATATATATATATATATATATAGTTTTTTTTTCTTTTTGGAAGATAAATGTTTTTTGTTGTAGACCATACACAAATAGTACATAACTGTGAAGGTTGGGACATTGGTTTAAATATTGTTTAAAATTACAAATCTTAAACATTTTTTCATGCATTTGTGTTCAGTCCTCTTTACTGTAACGAACCTGAATCCAGTGCTACCGTTTCCCTTCAAAAAGGAAGTCCATCTGTGTGTGGTTTAATCTTAGGATAAATACAGCTGTTTTGTTAAGGCCTCAGGATTTGATAAAGAACATTTCATTTTCCTCAAGATACATACGGAAAACAGTCAACATCTGAAAGAAGGTGCTCTGGAAGCAAAATTTATTTTTTTTCCTCTGTGCAAAACATTGCGTATTGTGAAAAACAATCACTATATATCACCCTGTAAGACATGGTGGCGGCAGCATCATACTAGGAGTCAGTGATACGATGGCATGGCTTAGGTCAAAACACATTTTAGCACTCAAATTGCAGGTCAACATAGACCACAGTGTAGAATGTTCTGCAAGACTCATTAATCAAGCTTCCCATTCAATCTGATTGGGCACAACTTTTTGAAGGCAAAAGAAAAATACCCCAGAGAACTTGCTGTCACATTTTCATAGGATGTTGGTTTTACAAATTATTGACAGGAGCTGAATTCCACTGTGAACTCACCCATAAATGTATGAAAAAAATATATCCCTGCAGAATAAATATGCATGTTTTTTTTATTACCCTTTACATACAGTCCCAAAGTCAATAAACTTCAGTCTTTGGCTTTAATGTAACAGAATGTGAAATACGGGACTGACATTAGGACTTTTACAAAGCAGGACATCTCACTGATTATCATTACAAATAAGCCCAATTCCTTTAGCCTATTGCACAAAGCATTAATTCATAGTTCTTCTTGAAAAGGGCCACTTTATTGTAAAGACCTTCGATAAAAACAGTTTTTAAAGCTTAAATCCTTAAAAGGAAACCCCTCACACCACTCCACTATCTTTTATTTACCACTACACCCTGCAGACAGGAAACTTTTGCTTACTAAAGCAGAAAATGCCTTACAGCACAGCTAGAGCTACCAGATAACTAAAACCCATAAATTAACATCTTGGATTTTATATTAGACACAGCAAATGAACAATAACTGGGTCTGAACCAACTGTGAGGTTTTAAAAGGGATTTATATTTCTAACTGTTTATCCGACTCATCTTCTAAAAACAAACTAAACTCTTAATATCACAAGAAAAAAAAACACAATAAAAAAGATACATAAAGGGTGTGATTCATGTTTATCATCGCAGCCATAGCACAACCTGAAAGCCTTGCCTGTAATATGGCTCATAAATCCTAAAAACTTATGCAATATCCTCATCCAGCTGTCAGTTAATGGGCTAAAACCGGCCAGACCACAAGTGAGATTCATTAACGTCTAATCCGTTAGATTACTGCATCTATCATTTACAGGGTAATAAAAATGGAAATACATTTATTGGCAGCTTAATGGCTTGTTACGTCAAGTATGAAAAATTCATCGGATCAATCCTGATTCATATGCAAAGAACCAGTCCTAATAAAACTTATCAGGAAATATTTTTTTTCCTGTGCAGCTCTAAGTTGACATTTAACAACTAACATATCCCATTTTCATACAGTATAAAGCTCATATACAAAACAAGTTTACATAGTGCTATGTACAGACACGAAAAAAAAAAAAGATCCAAGAAAGAGACTGAAACAAAATAAAACAGGGAAACATAAATCTAACATGGTGTAAAAAAAACAACTGTAGTTCAGTAAAATAAAACACATTTTTAAATATATTTCAAAAACTCTAAATCAAGTCACAGACTCTGCATCACACTGATAATACAGAATCAAAGTACTCCATATTTGCAATATATATTTATATGTCTGAAATTCTCTGAACTTCCATATCAATGCGTTTTTTTTTTCCTCCCACACTTAACATTTGGTCACTGCTGCACTTTATGAAATGGAAATGTTCATTATATTGCCAAGCTGCTGCTAATTCACTGTCTAAAAAGCTGTACAAAATTACATTTCATTACAAAATAACAATAAAAGTCTAAGTCTAAGTGTTAAAGTCTTCAATTATCTTGACAGGTTATGTCTTTTGTTTTTTAGGGTGTTTTCTTTAAATTGGCTGCCAAAAATTATCTACCCTCTTTAACCTTACAGCCATGAAACACTAAACTTGGGGATTTTACATGATAAATCAACACAAAGTAGTGAAAAAAAATATATTTTGAAGTTAAGAGGTTATGTTTTTAGTTTTTTTTAATCTAGAAATAAAACTGGTAAGTGTAGCGTTCATTATACCCCATTCAGTCTGTAATTTGTCAAATCACCCTTTGCTACAGCCTCCTTCCCTACAGCTCTTTTGAAGTATATCTTTTTCTTTATCGGCTTTGCATACTTCTTTCCACAACAAGATAGCTCAAGCTCAGTCACTTTGGATGAAATTTTAATCCTGGTCACAGAATTGACAAAATATGCCCTTGACAATTGTTTGATCTGAATAATGAAATAGTTGCTACTGTTGTCTGAGCTTTGTTTACTTTGGTAATGCGACCCTCTGCCCTAGTCTTAAGGCTTTGGCAGCCTTTTGGTTGTTTTCTTCCAGCATTGTCCAGCATTTACTTCCATCCTCCCATTAACTGTCACCTGGTTCCTGCAGCTTCTCTTATCATATTTTACACTTTTCACACAATTCCAATGTTTCCTTGTTAACAACATATAGGATCTTTTTGCTTAATTGCTTTTTTTTGCCATTGAAAGACAAATTTGCATGAATTCATGACTAATAATTAAAATTTTTAAAGTTTCTAAGACCAGAACTGCAGGGCTCCTCCAGAGTTACTATGGTTGTACTAGTGATTTATACTCTCCCATTGCTAGCCCGTCAATTCATACATACTTCCATGGTTTTGTAAATTTACAATTGTGTCATTCTCTATGTATTTCTCTATGAAAGCGAACACTTTCATAGAGAAATACATAGAGAATACAATCAAAGTTTAGGAATTTTTTTTTATTCCTAACATCACCAAAACCTCCATGACCTGTCATTTTGATGTTATCTGCACATTAATATTCTTTTTCTGATACCTTAAAAAACAGATGTATGAATTATACACATGTAAACTCTATTTACTACTAACATAAATGACTAGTAGGGCAACTGATTGCACTAGATTTTATTTAGAAGTATAGTGGGGAAGCAATAGAATGCAAATAAAAAAAAACATATTTGTTAATGAACCTGAAATAAAATGCATTAAAAAAATGTGGTTGTGATGTTTAAATGTTAAAGCATTCAAGGAGTAGAAATAATTTTGTTTATCATTTTGATTATTGTTTTACCTGATGATCTACAGTACATCAGGTAAAACAATAATCTGTTTAAGATCTGAGCTGGTGTTGAGCATTATTTAATTGCTACATGCCCCTAGAAATAATGGCAATATGGCTATGACAGATAGGTCTCATAATGCTGTGAGACATTTTCATTTGTTCTAAAATATTATTGCAGGACTTCCCTGTTTTATTAAAATATTTTATTGAGCTACAGAAATACACAGAGGACTGTTTTATTGCTGATTATGTTTGATCTACAGGGCACCTAAGCAGCTCATAAATACAAGGCAGTTTTATCAGAGGTTTATTTTAGTGGTTCACTAAGTAAGGTCAAAGAAAAATGCTTTATTTGGTATCTTCTGTGGATTAAATTTAGTCGGAAGCAAGGTGGGTATATATATAAAAAGGATCGAAGCAGTTTGTGAAATATTTGCCAAAAGAAAGCTAATTTCATCAAACAGAGAAAGGTATGCGTAAAGAAGCCATGTCGAAAAAACAGAATATGTTATACTTATAGATAAAGCCCAGCACAGCACTCCATTTTCGAATCCCTAAGAAAGGGATCTCAACACAACTACTACATTGAGCTTTTAATAAAAACAGCCTCACCAGCCCCACAGCTCACCTGCAGACGTCAGAGCCGGGGATGTATTGCGACAAACGTGAGTGTAAGAGAGGAATGAGGCGCAGGTCCACCCATCTCTTCTCCCAACGAAGCCCTGGAGAAGTGGGCCAGGATGAGCAGGACAGTGTGTCCTGTAACAGTGTGAAGGATAACTTAGAGGAGACCTGGAGTCTTGCAGTGCTACAGCTACTTGTGTTGCAGGTGCACAAACAGGCTGCAGATTAGAGCTGAGTCATTTCTTTTAAAAAGGTAGAGATAGGGTGTCATGGTTATCACCATGCAGTGACAGTTGCATGGAAACGACTCTCTGGCAGTGAGGGTGCTGCTGCATGGTTACAAGACAGTTCCAGAATCAGCCAAAAAAAAGTCTGAGGGGGAATACCGTGTTGTTGGGGTGGTAGTTTAAGTGAAGGCCGCTGTCACACAGGGGAGATGATGTCCCGCTACTCTGGTCGCTGGGGATGCCTAGAAAATAAGCAGGAAAAAACAGGCAAAAAAAGTATTTATTATATAAAATATATGAATCTTGGATCATCTCCTCTATCTGTTTCATAAACAAAAGCATTGTTACTTTGTTCTGCTCCATTGCAGGCTTCCACTTTGTGCCAATTTGTATTCAGTTGACTGACTGACGGCCAGTCAACCTGGCCTACATACGCATATGAAAGGATTTTACAAAAGCTTTCATGTCTGATGATGGGCTGAATCTCTCTCACGAGACACAGTCAATTGCACTGAAATGAGAAATGAGTCAATTCTTTCAGTTTTGTCTTTAGCAGCTTCTGCCTCAGAATGGCGTCTCTTCTCCTGGTTTTCTCTCTTTAACAAAGCATTATTTTTTGGCTTTAAACAGGCAACCATCTGATCAATTTATCATGTTTAAAATGTATAGTTGAACAAAGGTACTTTATTAACCTTCATTTTATAAAAAGGAAGCCTCTTTTAAACTTTTCTTAATTTAGGTCAGTTAGGGATTACCACATTTTATCATTTGTTTAATACCAGAATAACATGTTGAATAATTATTTTATTTTTCAACTAAGTCTTTAAACAACTAGAGAAAACCCAAAATGCCAATGTCATTACTTTAGTTATTTTACAAGATTTGAGTAAAACATACATCAATGGATGTAGTTTAATCCAACATCTATGATGCTCTGCTTTTTGGTGCAAGATCATACGAAATTCTAAGAAAATTAGAAAAAAGAAATGAGAATTGTGGACCTCTTAGAGTCTGCTTGTCCTTTTGTACAATTTCCAAATAAACCAAAATCCCACATTTACCCGTTTAAGCAATAATATACTATACATATAATGAAAATGTCAAGACATATAAAAGGAGATGGGTCAACAGATGCATATTAGTGTTATAAGGTGCTAAGACCCAATTACCTTATGCTGGTTGAAGCTGGTAAGATTTTGTCTTTGTTCATAGTTAAAACAGCAGTATATGGCAATTGGCTGAAAGGTCCATGTCCTGGACTCCAAGGAAACTAATATTTGAACATTTTCTGCAAATAAGCATAATAAATCTGGAGGAAAAAAGGGCAAAGCCTGAGAAATGGAAATAGTATCATATGAGATAAATGAAAATAGCAACTAGGACATTAGAAATGAATTTAAAGCTTTGGCACAAACAGATCTTTTAAAGGAACAATGACCAGAGGACAACTGTATGTTTGGCAGGGCATTTAAAGACGACAAAGTCAATAGTTATATTTTCCATCATGAAATCCTGATTCTACTCCTGTAGACAACCGGCAGGCAGAGAAGACAAGGCGGTCGCTCTACCAGTGTGGCCTTCAGTGGTTACTGTGAGGTGGACAAATTTATTGTAATTTATTTATTATATTTATATATTCAATTTGAAATATTTGTTTAATTTCAACTTCCTTCAGCATAAGAAATAAACCCAAGTTGCATACAGATCAGCATCAGTGTATGCTTATGGGTGCAATTGGATTGATATGGCTCAAATGTAAAGCACTTTGAGTGATCAGTGTATGACCCCATTCAAGTTTAGTCAGTTTACCATTTACCGTAAAAAAACCTGATTAAGCCATATCAATTCTGGAAGAAAGGGGTTAACCTTCGAGCAAAGTATTAAGAAGCCTATGTTACCTGAAATGTTATGTTATTTAAATTCCTTTTAATTATACAGAATATAATGCCTATAAACATCTGACTATCAAGGAAGTTATATTATATGTATATATATATATATATATATATATATATATATATATATATATATATATATATATATATATATATATATAAATAAATATATATATATATTTTTTATAATTTTTTAATCTGGCATTTAGCATATCCAAAAAATAGAAGTATTCCTTGATGACATAAGCAGGTAACCCTTAGTCTGATCTATAGTCACAAAGTGAGTGTTTGTTCATAGACTGCATATAAAGTTCTGGTTTCTACTGTAATTTTTATTTTCCTCAAGGAGGCTTGAGTTTATTGTTTCCAGGACGACCACTTCCAGACAGAAAATAAGACCTGCTAAAAATAATCCCATTTAATTGCTTTCCAGTGCTTCAGCGTTTTGTGGAGAGTTCTTACATGTGCAGTCCTCACACAGCGGCAGTTTCAAAAAGGCTGGAGTCTTCTTCAGGAATGACACTGTGAGAGTTACCTCTTCACCTGCGTTTCTCAAAACCTGCACCTAAAAGTTACAGAAACGGGCTCATGTTGTTATGGAGGGAGGTGTAGGTTTTGCAGTTTTATTGCTGGGGATGAGACTTGGCAATGAAAATGTCTGGCTAAGAATGGAAAATCCAAGATAAGGGATAAAAACAGCTGCATATGTTTTCTCCAATTTCTTATGAGGATGGATAAATGAGAAAAAAAAGGGGTTTTACATGCCAAAAAGATACAAATCATCAAAATAAGACGAGATAAGCTGTTGAAAGAGTTGTGTCTGTGTAAGAAACTCTGAAATATGAACTGACAGCTTACCACTTCCTCATGGCGATAGCTTCTGACATTTATTCCATTTATCTAGAAAACAACAATAACATCAGTACTCTGAATAACATTTCACCATCTTTGCACTGAAGCACATCTTACAAAAATGATTAATGATAGAACATCGTTAAAGTGCCTTGCTAAAGTACTTATACTTTTCTTAGCATTCTAACTGTAGGCTTCTAGTAGGAATATGTCATAAAATATGAATAAGATGTATTTTATTATGATCTTATTTGATTCAGCAACACAAAGCTCCATATAAATGTAAAGCAGAATGAAAATCTACAATTGTTTATCTGGCAAGTTTCTGAGTTGCATAGGTAGTATAATGTATTCACCTGTCTAGGCCATCATCACTTTGAGGTATTAACTTTGAGGCTGTTCAATTTGCTGTGAAGTAAACCATTCCATTGTACATATGGGTTTATATTTAGGTCATTGTCCTTCTAGAATGTTAAACTTTATCCCAGTTCCAAGTCTTCTACAGCCTCGGGCAAGATTTCTTGTCTGATTATCTTATAAATAGTTCCATCTAACTTTAACTCTGGCTAGCTTAGCTGTTAACACTGAACTAGTCCATAAGCACACCATGTTACTGCCCCACTGTGTTTGAAAATAGCTCATGCCAATCAGATGAAATGCAAAGTGCCTACAAACATCCACTTTTTAAGTCTTTTCATAGATTGGATTGACTATGACAAGGGGTTCATCTATCAGTTGAGTTTTTAATTCCTTTGTCTCCACTCTCCTTAGGAGCAATACTAACCAGCATCTCTGTGCCTGTTGGAAAGGTATCCCAACAGTGTGATGCTGCTACTGATATGTATCATAATGTAGATTGCGGGTCTTTACTGATAGCACTTGTTTTCATACACACATTGCTTACTAGAAGAGAGCAAACTTGTTTGATTTTGATCTCAAATTGTCAGTTTTGGCTCTGTTCAAGTTTTATCTCAGCGTTTTCATTGGTCTTATTTCAATTTGTGTTCTAGATATTTTCTTTTGTATTTGCGTTCTTAAATATTTCTTGTATGCCCTCTTGTGTCAGTCTCCTTTTCCCTAGCTCCCGTCTTGCCTCTGTTCACACCTGCTCCCAATCTGCTAATTAGCCTTGTCTTTGTTTCTCTCTGCCATATATTCTCCACCTGTTCAGTCACTCCTGGCTGGTTTGTACTGTCAATTGGCAGTGGAGGTTTGACAGGACCCAAATGCAAACACAAAATGCTGAAGTGGTTTCTTGAATATTTAATTAACCAAAAGGTTCAACAGAAGCAAACCTCCAAAAACATGAATCCACAAAAATCCAAAAATGCAGAAAACCAGGAATACTCACAAAAAGAAGGGTGCAAAGAAATGACAACAAACCTGCAAAGAGTAACTGAACAGGAGGAGACTATATGGCAGAGAGAAACAAATACAAGGCTAATTGGCAGATTGGGAGCAGGTGTGAACAATCAAAAATAACTAGAACACAAATGGAAATAAGACCAATGAAAACTCAGATAAAACTTGAAGAAAACCAAAACCGTGACACAGATTATCTGAGCTTTTTTTTCTCCTTTCATATTTTTACTGTGACCTTTTAAAAAATGTGGCAAATTAAAAAGGAATTCGTATCGCTTTCTTTTAGCAAAGGTGTTCCATTAAGGTCACGTTTATACTCTATAGATGACAGTAGTCATGGTGATGAATTCTTCCTCCTGAGCTGTGGATGTCTGCAGCCCCTTCAACGTTACCATAAGTAACTTTTCTGGTAGTTCCTCTGGTTAATGCATCTGGGCTCCTGATTAACTCACATTATTAGCTCGGTTTCCAACCAGTTTTTACAGTTGATTTAATATAGTGGTATCAAAATTAAGGAGGGTGATTCTACACTTTTAAGAGTTTGTTGAAAATGTTTAAATGTTTAAATAAATATATTAATATTTTAAATATATTAAATATTTGTTGCACAAACCACAAGAAAATATTTTGAAACTTTTATCTGTAAGATGTAAATAAACAGTAAAAAAAATATATGCTTTTTGCAAGGTACTTTAAGTGATGTCTCTTCTTCCCAGTAAAGTATAAATATAAGCATCATAATTAAATGTCTCCAACACTCACCATGGGGGAGACTGGGTGCAAATACTTTTTAATTAATTCCTTTGGCTGAAATGTATGTGATAGATGGGACCTGTGCCTATGTGAATGAATGATTATTCCACCTAGTCTCAGGGACATGTGGCACATGAATTATTTAATACACCGGGTGTGGTATTTTGCACAATGGGAGGAGGAAACATTAATGTGACATTTTTACCTGAAGGATGCCGTCTCCGATAAAAAGTAGCCCAGAGAGTTCAGCTAGAGAACAAACAAAGCGACAATAAACACTTTATAACAAGCACAAACTAAGGGCTGAAACATCAGGAGATGAAAACATCCACTAAACAGTTCTCTTACCTTTTTGTTCTTTTGATATTTTTGATATGACAACAGGGATTTTGTGCTCCGCTCCACCCTGCGGAGGTAAAATAAAATCAAGAGCTATTGATGTCACTGTTGTAGTGGTTCAGCAAGGAAATGATCAATAACACTTGTTCACACACGACTTAAAGAGGTCCAGATGGGTTGCCAAATCAGCTGAGATCTAAATTACCTTGATGCTGAGACCGAACCCTCCAATCGTCTGCCGTCTGATCGTTACAGTCCTCTCCTGCACATTGAGAGAAAAGACTAATTTAGATAGTTGTAAAAGCCAGCAAGGGATCTGTCCTAAATTCAAATGTAGTTGTACTAAAAATATAAAAATTTAGTTTAAAAATCACCCAATTTATTTTAAATGTGTATTAAAACTGTCAGTGTGTAATCATATTGTGGTTTTTCTTTTCTTTTAGCTCCACATGAATGATGATGTCCTCAGTCTAATTAAAACAAACTAATTAGCAACGCTTTTCTTTGACATGGGGAGATCATGATCTGATGTCCAATTATGCAAAGCAGTCGAGCGCACTTCATGGTTAGTGAATGAGTCAAAATGTGACTTTGAAATTTTTGTCATGGCAAAAACTATTAATCCTCACAAAATGATTATCTGCTTATGAATCCATTTTCCTTCCAGTAGTCTATAAGACAACAAGAATATCCTCCATATTAAAACTTTAAGAATATGACACACAACATATTCAGAATAGTATTTAAGTCATAAAGGCAGTTTACTCTCATTTAAACTTGACAGTTTGTTCTGTCCTGAATCTGTGTTATTAGGAAGGGAGTTGTACATGGTAAAAGAGGGTCCAACCCAGCACTGACAAAGTGTACAAAATTGAGTGGCCAGAGTAAAGGACATGTACATTCTTCCTATTATAAATGTCAAATAGCAAGATGTAATTCAAACAAAGACACCTTTGTACCCATCAACAAGCTTCTGGTAGAATTCCTGATAGGTATTTGCCCCCTCTTTTTTGAAGAGATTATATAGTTCAAGTCCAAAAACCTGCCGTTTATCCGTCAGGGTCACAGCAGGCTGGTGCATATTGCCAGCAGTCTATGGGAGAAAGGTGTTTTAGACTAGAAGCATACCATCATGCATACACCCAATCACACTTAAGGGGTATTTAGGGACATAAATTAACCAAACAGTTATGTTTTGGGGCTATGGGTGGAAGCCAGGGTACCCAAAAAGAACATGAGAACTACATGCATAAAGAGTTTGGGTTGTTAATAATAATATTAGTAATAATGATATAAACCAAACAACATTTTTGTAAAAATGTTGTTTACAATTATTTTTATGTTAAAAAGCGTAAATGTGTCCAAATTTCAACCTGCTAAGATTTTTAAAGAAGTCAAATTAAGTGTTGATAATTGTGCATATTTATTGTTGCACATGATGTGCAATCAAAGCAATTTTAAAAGGGTCATAGAATGCAAAGTTTACATTGTCATTGTTGAATAACGATAGTTCAGTGGGTGAAATGGACGTACAGATAAGTTCAAACCCCATCGACGCCTCCTTTCTCTGCAAATCTCACAATTCTAAACTGCCACCATAAAACGGCTGAATTCAAACGAAGCTTGGACAGTTCAAAGCAGGATTTGCTAAACTTCTTTTACTGAAACGAGGGGCTGCTCTGCAAGCCATCACAACCGCAAGCTGTAAGTAATATGTTGTTGCTAAGCTGTTAATAGCAATGCTAACATATCTATGGTGACTAGATTTGTGTTTCCAAAAGGGAGGATGATTGGATTGGACCAGTCCTCAGGGGGGAATGGAGCAACCAAACCCGACCCGGTGATGGTAGCCTGGACAACGGCAGCCCCGTGCTTCCCCCCTACCTGCCTTACCGTGCTTCCTCCTGCTGCCGTTGTACAGGCTACCTTCACCAGCTCGGGTTTGGTCGCTCCGTCCCCTGGTTGGGTTCTCGGACCAGCCCCGGAGCTCATGGCTTGGTTCTGCTGCACTGTAGTCGACCAAAATCCCGTTTCAGTGAGTGAGTGCTTGTTGCTATGATGTGTCTTTGCTCAGCAGCTTTGCTCGTTGTAAACCAACCAATCAGCGCAGAAATCATCTAAATATTCATGAGCATACCATAAAAGGAAGAAAACCTGTCGTTTCATTCTAGGTCTTATAACCCGGCTTGAACTAGAGCTCATAGAACAGCAAATTAGCCATTTTCAGCCCAACCAATGTTACACACCTTATTCAGAGACCTTAAGGGCCAGCACAAAATACCCTATATAATCATTCTATTACCCCTTTAAAGGTTCTCCTTGACACATCCAAAAATATCTTGCTCACATTGTGAGCAAATAGCTCCATCTCTGTGCCAATTGACCAAAAAGCTTTATCATGAGGGCTTTTGGTTTATCCATGAGGATAGCTGCAAGCATCAGCTTAAATCATGCTTGAAAGTGAGTGTTTGAGAGCAATATAGTATGTTCTCTCCTTTGCAGTCAAAGCTCAAGTAAAACTTAATTCATCATAGAAATAAACCTTCAAAATAAAAGCCACCTGTGACAGAAAAACAGAAAAAATATTCTAATCTCAGAAGCTTGTTGATGGCTATAACAAGTGTGGTTGAAGGACAAATCTCCAATAGAAACTGCTCAGTTTTTTTCAATTGTGTCTACCCAATTCTATGTATTAAAAAATAAGCTATGTGTAGGTATTATTACATATTTCTTTTTTAAATGCATCATTAAAAGCCTGAAAAGTATATGAATATAATGTCTTTATCAAACAAAATAAAATTTCAAATGTAACTGCAAGCTAACCATTCTTTTGCCAGAATATAACTTTTTCTAAAAGTAAATGTAGAGCTTGAAAACAGCAGTAGCACAGAAAGTCTCATGTGGTGTAAATTTCCACCAATTTTTCAAGGCAAAATGTTCCTTGATGCGTTTTTTGTACCAATTGGTTCAGCTAAGCGTAACGTTGTTGAAGCATGTCCCTCCTCAGCCTTATCAAACCGGTGCCAGATGGTGACCCAGACATGACAGGGTGGGAATGTGCTGGAACAGCAGGAAGGCCAACACATTCTGTCAGAGCCAATAAAGCATAAGGTACCTCATGCTACCCGCCTGTCTCCACAGGTAAGTTTTATTTTAGGAGGAAATTCGACTTAACTGCAAATTTAAAAACATCCTTACCTGACACACTAAAGATGTTTGGATTTCTAGGTCTCTGACCTTTTCGTAGATTAGTAACAATTTTTCACTAGACGCAAACCTCCATTTGCTCGTGAAGACTTTTATCTGGGAAAATGTTATTACATGAATGCCATTTTGGTAAAGGCCATGGTCTCTGGGCTATGGTGTATTTACAGATGCAGTGGAATAGCTGTCAAAGGTGATGACAAATCAGAACTAAATGCTATACTCAACACCTCAATATCAGCAGGTGAATTACTGTTGAATGAATAGATTTCCCTTGTAAGGTGTGAATATACTGTTTTAGATATGTTATGAGCCCCAGCAGTGTTATGAATTTGACTGGGTTACTTACACTCGAATAAAAAGGTTCTCCCGAAACACAGATGACATCTTGTTCCTGAATGGTAAGAATATCTTTGGCCAAGTGTAGTCGAATATTAAATGGCTCCTCATTACCTTCTTGCATCAAATAAATCCCAGTCTTTGTCTGCGAACAGTCAGAGAGATAAAATCATTCATCATCTGTCCGTGACTAAATTAACTTGCCATGAAATGAAATGTCATTGAAAACTCTCGTGCAGGATGAACATGAAAATTAGTTCTGACTGATGTCTGTTATTTCCTTTTTTTTTCCAATGCAAACAAAATGTTTTAATTGTAAATGCTAATATTAAAAACAAATAAGCTAACCATATAAATCAGAAAATAAGAAATGTAAAAAAATGCATTTGTGAGTTCAAATAATAAGCTTTTGTGAAACCTGTAAATGCTGTTCCTTCTGTGACAAAAGTACTCAGATTGTATCATTTCACAGAGAGAAAGGCTGGTGACAATTCAGGAAGATGTGACATAGAAAGGCTGGGGGAAAAAAGTTAAACCACACCCCTGCATTTGTCTCTACTTCATATCAGGCATGCGTGAGGGCTGTGTTTGTGTTTCCAATGGTCCCTTTACAACATGCTAATCTGCATAAATTTGCATTCTGCATCTCTTTTCCTCCTTGTAGGCTAATTGTGATGCTAGTCCCATCCTTGACTTAAAAAAGGTCTGAATAAAAGAAGCACCTTCACCTGATGAGACTGCTAATAGGAGAGAGCCACCAGTGTCAGCATCCTTGTCATCAAGCATATGATGCATAAGAGCAGATAACACACTCAGCTTCATAGCTGTTGGACATTTAATCTTGAGTAATAATCGGTTTATGTCTTTGTCATGGTGAAGAGCTTAAGGAACTGCATCTATTTCTATCACACCCCAACTCCCACTACAAGCGCCTCAACACCTGCAGCCATGGAGTAAGAAATTAAATGAGCAAGACATTAATTCAAATTATTTGAAGCAATATGTGTCTGTGCAAGCATCATTAGCGGAACGAAATGAGGGCAGTAGTGTCTGTGTATTATTGAGGTCAGGCAGCGTCTCACTCGACTAAGTGTCGTCTGACCTGCTGTGCCTCTTATACTGCAAATAATTAGCCTTATCTCCCATCCTATTTTAAGGTGCACCGTCACCCCCCACATAACAGTCCAATCTGCATCATCATCTTTAGAGAGCCTTAAGTTTTACTGACAGCATAAGTCATGAAGCAAGGACATCTTCTAAACGGGGAGCATATCTTTAAGAACAAACGGGGAGGAATCTTATGCAAGGCATTATTAAAAGCCCTTTTTCATCTTGCTATTTCTAACTTTCATTAGTAAATAAAGGGGTCTTCCAAAAGTACTTGTACCCTTCAAACTTAATTACTGGTTAGACTTTTTGTCAGAACAGAGCCAGATATTTTATGTATTTTATTGTGACTTTCAAGGCTCTCAGGCCAAACTGATCACCAGACCGAGTTTGGGATAAACAGAAAGAAAATCCAGACTTAGAGTCTGATCCTTAAAAGGTTTGCGTGTATTAAAACCAAAATATTTTGTTGATGCAAACTTTTTCATTCAAGGTGCAAAGTGATTTGAGTGGACTGACTTGGGAGTCAGTCACATATAAAAGCAATGCAATCTCTCCTCGCTGCAGTTCCTTTCATCTGGGTCATTCCAGCACACAATTACATGGGTGTCTCCTTGGGTAAAGTGTCAGGTGTGCTGTCCCAGGTCTTGGATGCAATGTTGCACAGGATAGACAGGTACAAACATTTTCCAAGGACTGTGGACACATGCATTAACACCAAAAACAGCTTTTCTGCAGTTGCTGGCATTTTAAAAACTTTAGAAGCAAAGGACTGCATTTATGTACAGTTTGTTCCCCACTTAAATGGGGAGGATGTCTTTAGAAAATAGAAGCAGACACATGCTTTAAAGGTTAAGGTTGTGTGTGAGTCTAGGGGGAAAATCCCAAATGTTGTGGTAAAATACCTTGTGTCAAAGCCAAGAGTTGGACAATATGAAGATGGCTGGCTTTTTGGTACATTGGTATTGTTTACAGTCTGTGAAAATGCTTCATGTTGTTTTTGGGTGATAGTGCATACTTCTTTCCTCCATTCCTCCTGGCAGCTCTTGTCAATCCAACCACACAGACAGAACAGGGTTATAATGTGGTTCATATCACAACAGGGAACATTGTAGAGTGCACCTTTGTCAAACTTAAAAGCTAGTACCATTGTATGAAGGCGTGCTCTTATGTGGCACAGAAAAGTTTGCGCCGATTGTACGTGTCAGCTGCATGCTGCACAACATCACACTCTGCCAAGGTTTGGAGCATGCTAGGCTGACTGTGAAGGACAATGAAGTCTGACCACATCCGGGACAGCCTTATGCAGTCTTAGTCAAAACATTTCTTTATTAACCATTGCAGGTATCATTTTATTTAATAATTTATTCAATTAAACAATATTTAAAATAAATGTGCCATATTTGGAGAAAACTAAACTGAAGGAATATATAAAGAAATAAGGGATTTAAATATGTTATACAGTTTTTTATGTCCTTTTGAGAAATAAAGTATTTGTGCCCCTAGTGTTCTGAGAGTAAAAAAAAGAGAAACACAAAAAAGAAGCAAGAGAAGTCATTTCAGTTCTGCATTAGTACATCTACCCAGCTTGGCAAACAAAGTAGAGAGCAAACAGCACGTAAATAGAAAGTTGAGCAAGGACATTTTTCACCGGTGGTGAATATATGTAGCCCTTAGCCTTGAAAATGAAATGCTTTGTCCTGAAACCAGCAAGAATTCTTTTCATGTTTTCTCACATTATAAACATAGAATTTTGTAATTTTGTAAGCAAAACTTTATTGTGGTTCCCAGACTTTTTAGCTGTTTTTTCAAGTAAAATCTAAAAGTTGGGTGCACATCAGTATCTAATGTTGCAGATCTAGTACTTTGTCAGACCTTTTGTTGTAACAGCACATACCTTAACTCTTTTAAAGTATGTCTCTCTACAAGCTCTCCCTCTCAACCTTCCCAAAGGATGATGATGCATGGGTTAGGGTTGATGATGTCACCAGTGCGACAGAAATCAGGAAAGTAAACAATAGAGAGCAGCATGTAAGGAAGCCAGGGCGTAGTAAGTGTTCTGTATTGATTTGCCCTTTTATCTGTCCAAATCTCTCTTACCACTGCTGCTTCATGTTTATCACATGTAAACAGAGTTGTTTCAGCTTGTTTGATCAAAAGTAATTGACAGAGTGTATTGACATTTGTACTTATGTTGCCCTTATGGTATCACTTATATTAGCGGGTCTACCAAGGTCTGATGTTCCCACTGTGTGCTGATCAGAGCCAAGCCGCCTTAAAGTGAATTCAACTTGGGTTATTTGCCAGGTCGCATGCCCAGGCATCTGACCCGGGTCAGTGAGCTGTTCCCACTGCCATTAAAAGCTGATCCTTCCCGGGTTTAAATGGGTTTTTCGGCCAGTGGGAAAGGGGTATAACACTAGAACTTCCAAGGCCATCATTTTGACGGTTCTGAGATTTTAAAGGGAAAGAACTTTATTTTCATTAATTATATTTTGCTCATGTTAACTGACTTTTCTTGTTTATATATTTCCATCATTTTCACATATTCTTTTGTAATTAACTAGAAATGTAAAAGAAATAGCAGATATTTTAGTTATCAGGCTCCTCTGGTGTGGAACCAACTATCAGTTATAGTCCATGGGGCAGCCACGCTATCTACTTTAACATCTACGATTAAAACAATTACCTTTGATAAAGTTTATACTGTGGTTAGATGGTGTCACGTTATCCGGCACTAGCTCTATAGTTATGCCACTATAGGCTTAGACTGCTGGAGGATATAGGAATGAGTTTTTGTCATTCTGCTTTATTCTATCTTTCTATTCTACCATTCTGAGATATTTGCTGGTCTTACCCATCAGTATGGTTTTATCTCCTCGTAGAAGCTCCATCTGGTCTGTTCCTGTTTGGCTGTGTCACCATCCTGGATGGAAAAATGAGCTGGGTTGCTGCCATCAACACCTCTGATTATAGATTATAGAATTGGGCCTGTTTTTTTGTGTTTTGTCCTGTTTCTCTCATAGACATAGCTATGGGCTCAGTTTTTACTGTGACTAATTGTATGTGCTCTTTTTCAGCCCTTTTAGCATGAAAACAGGCTCAGAGCTCATCCGCTTAAATGTTCCTTTCCTAGACAGAGCCACCTATGGAGCTAGTTTAGCATTACCTACCGGTATTCTAAGAAAAAAAAAATATAGATATATCTCTATATCTATATATGTAGATATAGATATAGAAATATATTAGTGCCTCATTTTTCCTCTTTTGTGTCACACCGAGCCTGGTTCTGCTAAAGATTTCCTCTTGTTAAAAGGGATTTTTTTTCTCCCCATTGTCGCTGCATGCATGTTCAATGTAAGGGATTACTACAAAGTCAACGAAACACTGCAAACAATATCTACTATCACCACATGCTCATCTAGGAGGAGGGTGAAGAAGCAAAGTAAAGGACACGCTTGATGCAATCAGCTAGTTTTTTTAGATAGAAAATCTTTGGGCAATCTGACTGTATGATCTGATTGAATTGTCTTTGTTAAGTGCCTTAAGATGAAATGTGTTGTGAATTGGTACCATATAAATTAACTGAATGGAATTGAATTATGGAAGGCAATAAAACAATGAAAATTTGTTGAGAAGTCTCAGTTTTTTTTAAAAAGCCTATATTTTCTAATATAGTTACTTATCTCATATTCAGAGTGTGGCGTTTAAAACCCTTTCTTTTTCCCTTTATTCAGCAGAAATAAAGAGCATGCCAAAACTACATCAGTCATTTCTCCATCATAGCACCCATGACTTACAAGAACGTCTGTCAAAACACAGTGATTAACATGACTCAGGCCGATGTGACATGTGTCAGATTAATGTCTATGTCTATAATAAAATCTCTTATGTGTTTCATTCTAAATGGGGTTTTTGATTGTCACTTTTTGTGGTAAAACATTAGTAAAGCTGTGTACTCCCCCCTGCTGATTGTGAGTCAGATCCTCATATGTCATATTACTTTATCAGCATGCAGAGCTGGAGCTGGAAGCTTATCACAAACGGTCACTTGAGAGTCATGTGGAGGCGCATTCTAATGTGAGCTATGAGCTAACGCACGCAAAGCTGTCTTCTTTCGATTAGATCACCTAGGTTGTAGAGATAATAAAGGGGAAATCCACCATCACTAAAAGATGAATTTTTGGCTGATTTTCTCTCCAAAATTCCTTCAGTTTGGTTGGGATAGACACATATGACGAATTGTAATCTCACAGGCTTTGCAGTCCATGGGACACTGAATCCCTGAGAAAGGTATTATGGATCCAACATAAACTAGTGGGCATCTTTAGATGCAAATATGTGAAAGTAACCCATATCCATCTTTTTCTAATTGTACTTGTTAACTTTATTTTAGACTTAGACAAACTTTATTGACATTTTGTACACACAGGGTGTAAACAAAACAAAATTTTTGTACAGTACAGCTCTCAAGACATTTCCCCTTCTTAAAGTGCCGCAGTGATAAAATGTAAACATGGTGATCAAATGCAAATTATATGAGATATAATGTACAGTTTTTCCACCACAGTTTTTTTCTTTTTATCCCCCAACATTCAGCTGTCTAATGGCAGTGGGGAAGAAGCTGTTGCAGGATCTGCTGGACCCTGCATCAGATGCTTCGAAGTCTCTTCCCAGAGGGCAGCAGAGAGAACAATCAATGGTGGGGGTGTGAGGGATCATTTATAATGTTATGTGCTCAGGACACGCAGCGCTGGGATGAAATGGAGGGGAGAAGAGCCCCGATGATCATGTCTTCAGTTCTCACTTTTCTCCTCACCTTCTTCCAGTCTGCGGCGTTGCAGCCTCCACACCATACACTCAGACAGCTGGTCAGAACACTCTATGCTGCTTCTGTAGAAGGTTGTGAGGATGGGTAGTGGGCAGGTGGGTTCTCCTCATCCTTCTCAGGCACTTTTGTGCCCTTTTGACCAGTGAGGCAGTATTTACAGTCCTGCTGACGTTTTCTGTGATGTGCACCCCCAGGATTTTGGAGCTGATGACCACCTCTACAGCTGAGCTGTTGATGAGCAGTGAAGTGTGGTTAGGGCAGTTCTTCCTGAAGTCAACAATGATCTCCTTCGTTTTCTCCACATTCAGGATCAGGTTGTGTTATCTGCATCAGCCCACCAGCCGCTCCACTACCTCTCTGTAGTCGTGGTCGTTGTTCTCTGTGGTGTCATCTGCGAACTTCACAATGTGATTGGTTGTGAACCTGGGGACGCAGTCGTGTGTCATCAGGGTGAACAGCAGGGGGCTCAGGACGCAGCCCTGAGGGGAGCCTGTGCTTAGAGTGATGACATCAGAGGTCAGTCCATCCCGAACTGACTGAGGTCTGTTTGTGAGGAAGTCTAACAGCCAATTGCAGAGGGGTGTATTGAATCCCAGCTGTTCCATATTTCCTATCAGATGCTGTGGGATGATGGTGTTGAAAGCTGAACTAAAGTCCAGGAACAGCATCGGCACATGGGTATACTTCTCCTCCAGGTGTGCTTTGCTCAGGTGAAGAACAGAGGAGATGGCATCCTTAGTGGAGCGGTTGCGTCAGTAGGTGAACTGGAACAGGTCGAATGTTGGGGGGAGTCTGGAGATGATGTATTCTTTAACCAGCCTGTTGAAGCACTTTATCGTGATCAGAGTCAGTGTGATAGACCAGTAGTCATTGAATAAAGTGACTTGAGGCTTCTTTGGGACCGGAATGAAGCATGTTGGCACTATGGAATGGTCCAGGAATATGTTGAAAATGTATGTGAGGACACCATCCAGATGATCACCTGCCTCCTCAGAGTTTTCCTCACTTCAGCTATGTCAAGGTTGAGTGCCTCCTCTCCCTGATGTGGAACGGCTTTCAGTGCTGGAGTGCTGTCTAGTGCCTCAAACCTTCCAAAGAAGTTGTTCAGTTCATTTAGGAAGTCAGCGTTTGCTGTATCTACCCATATACCTTGCCACATCCTCCTGGTGTTGCTGGCGTTGTAGAAAAGATCTTGGATTTTATGGCTGTGGTTCTGCTTCGCTGATCTGATGGCACAGTTTAAGTTGGCACACACTGTCCTCAGTGCCTCTTTATAACCAGACTTGAAAGCTGAGTTCCATACTTTTAGAGATTTCTGACCCTTCCAATTCAACCAGGGTCGCTGGTTTGCTCAGGTAGTGGTGTTCCTTTTGATGCTGACGTCCTCAATGCATTTGTTTATTTGGGCTGACACAGTCATGGCATACTCCTCTATATTTAATAGGTTGTCATAGGGTGCTGCAGCCTTAGATATTTCGGTCAGAACATTCAAAACAGTCGTCGAGTTTCTCCATGGCACCCTCAGACCACACTAGGACCTCTTTAATCCGATCAGCTGGGGCCTGTATGCAGAATTAGCATGATCGAGAGGTGATTTGATGACCAGAGGTGAGCAGCTCTGAAAGCATCTTTGACATTAGAGTAAACCAGGCCTAAAGTGTTTTCACCCCGAGTCCACATGTTGGTAAAAATGAGGGTGAACAGTCTTCAAATTAGCCTGATTAAAATCGACAGCAATGTTGAAAACACCCTCTGTGTGTGCAGACTGAAGCTCAGAGATAGCCTAGTATAGAGTTTTCATGGCCTCTTTTGTATTAGCGCTGGGGGGCACATAAACAGCAGTAAAGCTAACCACACTGAATCCTCCGGGCAGATAAACAGTTAACAGTCAGAAGTTCGATGTCTGGAGAGCAGAAGCAGGCGACCGATCTAGCATGTTTACACCAACTGTTTTTGATGTGAAGACAAAGCTCGCCACCCCAAGTCTTACCGCAGAGTTTTTTGTTTCTATCAGTGCGGTATAGTGTTAGCCCCTCCAGGCTAATAGCATTTAATATTTAGTGTGATGTGTGAGAGTTTGGAGATGTTGTTTTTTTCTATTTCTTTAAGCATTACACAATCTGACCTTGAGGTAGATACACTTACCCTTCATTCCAAAAAAGATTCACAAATATTTCTCAGTCATGTATACTTCTCATTGAACTTAAACTGTTATTTGGGATATAACCCGTTAAATATAGATACAGTACATAGCAACAATTTCTTCTTGAAGTTCTTCTTGTGATTCATTTAAATGATGAATTATATTAAATTTTTTTGGTTTATGTTAACAGAAAAAAAGCTCCAGGTCAGCAACCTTCTGTTTTTATTGCTGTGGTTTCACTTCCTGATGATGAAATGAACATTTTGGTGTTATTAGCAGCCCTGGATTCTGCTTTTACAGTACAAAATACATTTTCATGATGGTTTGTTGTATAAACCCTGAAACTTAAAAAGGATTCACGTTTTTTTTTTAAACCCATTTCTACATGTTACTACCAGGTATAAAGATGTAACTACTATAAATCCTTCCTTACCATCTCCTGAGTTTAAAAACAAACAACTGTGAGTACAAAAATAATTATAATAATTTCTTGCTTGCAAGACTCAGTTTATATGATTTGGATTCTCCAACATTTCCACTCTCCGGCGTTCTAAACATGCTGCAAGGCTTAATGTTGTGTCCCAATGCTTTAAAATGCTTGGACACTTCGTTTAATTATGGTCAATTGTGAGAGATTGATTAAATACCACTAACCTCTTCATTTGAAGTCTTGAAATCCATGTGCTACAATGCAGTGAGGGATTCTGCAATAGAGAGAAAAAAAACTAAATTAATTTGAGACTGGAGGGACAAATGCTTAATGATGGGGCCGAGTCATGCAGCAAAACCACATGGCTGAGTTTAAATCAGCGTTGTTAGCAGGTTGCCTATACTCATTATGCTCCACTGTTTCTCATGTGTAGCTTAGAAAATGGAGGGAAATAGATCTTTCTGGTTAAACATGCCTCTCCCAAACCCAGCTGAGCATAGAACCCCAATGGTGCAATTTTCTGCAGAAAACTGGAGACCATTAAGCATTAATGAATAATTTATTAGCAAAGGTGAGAGCCAAGGTATCCTAATAAATGTTTAAATATTGAATCCAGCCTCCTACAAATGAACTGTTAGAATATCTCATGGCTTGTTGGAGAGCCTAGAAAACCGAACCACAGGATTGCTCTATTATATAAGTAAAAACCTAAACATCTTTAACTCTAAATGGCACATTCTTTAAAGTCACCACACCTGATAATTAATTATGAGGAATGTTTTACAGAAGGTTCATATACACAGCATCAGTCTTAATCAAACATGACAGCCACTTGACTCGAGAAATGGGCTCACACTGGGTCTTTAGAAGCAGCGCCGCAAAGGGAGACTGAAACTTACCTCAACAGAAAGGCCCCCGGCTCTTTGAGTGCTGAGGTCTAGCCATCGAGCAGCAGGCTGATCCCTGATCTTAGCCGTAGCAGGGGGCCTCTCAGGATCATGGCTGTCATATGTGGGAGGCAGGAGAGCAACACTGTCACTATTCCTGCTGGCTGTGTGTGCGTGTGTTAGCAGGGTTATTCCCAGTAGAGCAAATGCTGGAGAGCAGATTGAGGTTATCGTTTGGAGGAAAGAATCTCTTCTAAAGGTCCCTGAACTGTGTCTGCACTGCAGTATCAGGGAGGAAGGGGCTACGGTAATGTTCTGCTCCACAGAGGTCCAGTCTGAAAAAAATAAATAAATAAATAAAAAATGATTTAGTGAATGTTGTTGATAGCTTGCTTAAGACTAGGAATGGAAATATGTAATCTACATTTGCAGACAACACAGATATGAGAGTTTTTGTCGTGAAGGCTGTATGTACAGAACATCCTGGATGTAGAATTTAAGGTTCAGGCTTCATCTTTTAAGCAAGCTATAGGAAAAATTAAACAAACTCAAAGTTTGAATGATTCTGATGAAGGATCTACTCGAACACTTCACACATACAAACATGCCAGAGAGAAAAAATATGTAATTAACTCATATTCTTCTATTTTCACAGATTTTTCCAAAGACACGCTTGTGATCAGAATCAGAATCAGACATTTTGGCGTTACTGGCATTTATTAAATTCCAGAAGCACACTCCCGGAAAACATGCCTCATTAGTATCCATTGTTGACTCAATGCCTCATTTTTGTAGAGCTGTAGTGTTTTTGCTACCATCATTGTCTGAATCAAATGTGAAAACAGGTAATTTATCAAGACAAATGTAGTAAATACTTTCATTGAAATGCACATCTGAAACATTTTAAAGAAAAATTGAGCATTTATCAATTTTTGTAAATACTTATCTGGTCATATTTTGAAGATCATGTAAATTTGACCACCCCAAAAAATCTAGAATCTCCTTATTTGTATTTTTTGTTCTACAGAGACCATTGGAGAGAATAAATTCACTATGATATAAAAGAGCCTTCAAATTAACCCTTCGAAATAAATACAGAATGGCCTAAAGTGTTTTGTGAGAATCAGTTTTTCCTCATCTGTACTTTAATGCGCTCTACATTTCCTGAGCAAGGAAGAAAAAGAGCTCTGGCTTTATGTAAAAAGTGTGACTTTAAACTTGGTTTGATGCTCCAATGGGGACAATCTTTAGACCTATAAGCTGTGCCCTCTTTAATGCTTTCACAATGCACAGTAAAATGACAACAGTAAAAAAGGTTTAGCGTAATCTCAACTTTACATCAGTCTAGAGGAAGGTTAAATAATCAATTTTACACAGCTATTTCCTCAAAATCCAGAGCTTTTGCAAAATTCCTCAACCTTAACCTTTTTTCTATAGTAATTAGATGGAAAAAGGAATACATAAGTGTGAAAAGAAGATGCATTTACAGTGGAGGATTTGATATCATCTTCCAGAGGGCAGGAGGTTATATTCTGTATAGAGAAGATGCGAGATGTCATTCAGTGTCCTCTGTGCCTGCCTTACGGATAGAATGCTCATAAATCGTCTGGAAGGGTTGGTTTGCCTTTATCCCTATCCCTCACATTTATTGAGTGCAGTTATTTTTACTCCACAGAAAAACAGACAGATTTCTTTCTTAATAAAATGGTATAAGTGTCCACATATACGGATGATTTTGTTTATTCACATATCAAATAAAAAAGCAATGATCCATAAATCCATAACAGGAAAATCTTCCAATATATGAATATTATAGCACCAAGTAATGCAAAACTCTAACCTATAAAAATGTAAATCCTTGGCTTTAACCATCACTTTCATATGGCAGGCATTCCTTCTTTATTAATACACAAACTCAATCATGCAACTTAATTCAAATATTGAAATACAGCTACACTATGTATGTTTCCAGTGCAACATTAATGTGTGCAGGGACACTTTTGTAACACTGCTTGTTCCGTAATGTTATCAAGGCTAAATGACAAGGCTTCGCATTGCTCATTTGCATTTCAACACAACGGAGTCTCACTGCAATAGATGTTCACACCTAAATTAGATCTTAGTGGTGGAGATGCTAATGGACTCAGAGGGTGTTGGGAGCTTTGTCACAGCAGAAGAAGAGAGGATGTTTTGCACTACTACAAACCAACATATTTACACAGTGACACATTGTTTCATTGGGCCGTTTTTTTTTTACACGACAAAGTAGGCAAACAAGCTGATTTGATTTGTTCTAATAAAAATGCTGAAAAGTGGCAGGTGTAAGGTTTTTGTTTTTAATTAAAATAAATTACACTTTACCTTGTCTGTTAGTCATTTAAGACTAAATTTAAATTAAAGGACTTATTCAGATAACTAAATGACTGGAAAATGTGTTTTTTCCCCCCAAATGCACAGAAAATTATAAATGTAATATTTGTCTCTAAACCTTTTTTTTTTATAACCACAAATTGCTTTTGGGATAAGTGTTACAAAAGTAACTCTTATCTCTAAAGTAGAGGGAAATGTCACATGGTTTTCCAATTTACACAACTGAAAACCTCCCAGCCCATGGAACAACACTGGGAGCAATGTGAGGGACAAAAAGCACATGTAGAAAAAGATGTGATAAGACACGTCAACAAGGTAAATTTTTGGGATACATTTGGCATTTATGCAAGGCAGAAAACTTAACACACCAACTTGTAAGATATTGGTAACAGTAGCATCATGCTATAAGGATAAGAAAGACTGATTAAGCCAAACAAAGCATAACACTAAAACAACATTTGTAAGAAGCTGCAAAATACTTCTGACTGGGGTGAATATCTACCTTTCAATGGGATTAACACAAAGCCAGAGTTATAATGGTCTAGATCTAAGAACAGGACAATGTTGGCCCAGTCAGAGCACACACCAAAATCCAATAGAGAAAGTAAATAAATCTGGATAGAAGTTTGTAGTTGTAACCTAACAACATGTTTGCAAGGTATTGTACAATGAAATATCTGATAATATTTTGAATGGTTTGTTGAAGTAACAAGTTTTTCTAGTTTCAAAATGAAATCCTAAAACTATTTTGCATGGTTAATGTGGCAGCAGTCCATCTCAAATGCTATGACGTGTTTTGAAGTTGAATGTCTGTCGATGCTCAGCAGAAAGACATGTCTGCAGCTCTCAACTGAGCACTTTGTCTCAACAGGCACTTCTGGGTTCTCTGCCAGATGCCAGCACTTCCTTTTGTCCTTTAAGAATCCAAAGATTAAACAGTCTGAACCTTTTGTTTCATTTAAGCAGAGTCAGCATTGCTTTTCTTTTTGCATCAGGTATTTTCTGTCCTATCAGTTTGCTAAGGACTATATTTACTATAATGCCCTCCTCGAGAAAAACGGCAGCAAGCAGGAAGGAGGGAAAAGAGGAAAATGGCCTGGATGATGTGGAGATTGCAACATGACATCTCTATCTCTGAGCTGTGGCGCATGCAGGATGACAAATGGCCTCGGGATCTTTCAGGTGGAGCAGCTGTCCACACACTGAGCACCTGTAAATTCAGCTTTTCTTTTCAAATACTGAGATGGGATTCATCCAGCCTGCGGTACACGTATGTGTTTTTTAACCCAGAACAGTTTCTGAGCTTTTTTTTCTTCTAAGAGATGATAAACATAATTTTTTTCAATTGCAGTATCAGAAAAGAGCTGCATGAAGAACATTTCTCATGGTGTCTCTGTCCCTGATAGAAAATTACATTTCTGCTGCTACCAGTACTTTAAAATGATTAAAATACCTTCTTAAATTGAATCATGAGAAATGGATTTACTGCCCTCAGTTTTTGTACTTTTGCTGGATCAGTGAAACAGTGATCAGTTTTTTTTTACTCAAAATATATGAAAAAAAATTTAGCAATTAATCTCCTAATAAAATAATATATTTACATGTATTTATATTTATTTTAAAAAGATTCTATGCTAGATTGATTTAGGTTTATATTTAGATTCATGTACATGTATATCAAAACTAAAGAGGATAGCCCAAATTAAAAAAGCAGGATTAAACCATGAACGGTATATAGATCTAAAAAGTTTCAAGTTCCTTTTGAGATGAAAGCTGCTGAATGTCTGAGCTGTCTTAATAGCTGTATTCCAAAAAAAAAAAAGAAGCTGTCTTTATACCTTTACATTATTCATCAGGAAAGGTAAGGAGATATAGGCATCTGGTTCAGTGATGGCTTTGCTATGAGTCAAAAACTATGATGGAAGAAGGTTTTAAGGATCTGAATAGAAACTCCACTACTCTAGGGCTGATGTCGGCAAATTTAAGATGTGTCCTTGGTTGAAAGTAAACTAATTCATTCATTCATTAATCAAAGGGCTCAACCACCTCCTCAGTATCCAGTCACGTTATCCAGTTGTACTGCTAATCATTTAATTATTTGATTAAGATGTAGTGGATCAAGGGCAAAGAGAAAAAAATGCAGGAAATCACCCCTTCAAGGACAGAAGTTACTCATACATAATCTGGATACATTTTTGAGTAAATCCATCAAAATAAATTTAAATAATTTAGTTTGAATTGAATCCCCGTCCGGCGCCTCCGGCGCCTCCGGAGGGGAAAGCAGTGCTTCACTAACACTGTTTTTAGTGGGTGTGGGGAGCTGCTGACCTTGAAGGAGGATATTGTCGGGCGGTGGAAGGAATACTTTGAGGATCTCCTCAACCCGACAGACATGCCTTCCGTGGGGGAAGAAGAGACGAGGTGCTTGGGGCTGGGTTCGTCCATCACCCAGGCTGAAGTCACCGAGGTAGTCAAAAAACTCCACGGTGGCAAGGCTTCGGGGGTGGACGAGATCCGACCTGAGTATCTCAGAGCTCTGGATGTTGTCGGGCTGTCATGGTTGACACGTCTCTTCAACATCGCGTGGAGGTCGGGGACAGTTCCCCTGGATTGGCAGACTGGGGTGGTGGTTCCCCTCCACAAGAAGGGGGACCGGAGGGTGTGTTCCAACTATCGGGGAATCACACTTCTCAGCCTCCCCGGAAAGGCCTATGCCAGGGTGCTGGAGAGGAGAGTCCGGCTGATTGTCGAACCTCGGCTGCAGGAGGAGCAGTGTGGTTTTCGTCCTGGCCGTGGAACGGTGGACCAGCTCTACACCCTCTGCAGGGTGCTTGAGGGTTCATGGGAGTTTGCCCAACCAGTCCACATGTGTTTTGTGGACTTGGAGAAGGCATTCGACCGTGTCCCTCGTGCTGCCCTGTGGGGGGCGCTCCAGGAGTATGGAGTCAGGGGCCCTTTATTAGAG